GTCATGGACGTGGACGTGGACGTGGACGTGGTGGTGGACGTGGACGTGGACGTGGACGTGGACGTGGAATGTGGACGTGGACGTGGACGTGGACGTGGACGTGGACGTGGAGGAAATTGGACGTGGACATGGACGTGGACGTGGACGTGGACGTGGACTGGACATGGACGTGGTCGTTGGACGTGGACGTGGACATGGACGTGGACGTGGACGTGGACGTGGTCGTGGACGTGGACGTTGACGTGGACGTGGACGTGGTTGTGGACGTGGAGGACTTGGACGTGGACATGGACGTGGACGTTGACGTGGACGTGGACGTGGACGTGGACATGGTTGTGGACGTGGACGTGGACGTGGACATGGACGTGGACGTGGACGTGGACATGGACGTGGACGTGACGTGGACATGGACGTGGACGTGGACGTGGACGTGGACGTGGACATGACATGGACATGGACGTGGACGTGGACGTGGACGTGAACATGGACGTGGACGTGGACGTGGACGTGGACATGGACGTGGACGTGGACGTGGACGTGGACATGGACGTGGACATGGACGTGGACGTGGACGTGGACGTGGACATGGACGTGGACATGGACGTGAATGGACGTGGACGTGGACGTGGACATGGACGTGGACGTGGACAGGGACGTGGACGTGGACGTGGACGTGAGACGTGGACGTGGACGTGGACGTGGACAAGTGGTCGTGGACGTGGACGTGGACGTGGTCGTGGACGTGGACGTGGACGTGGTCGTGGACGTGGACGTGGACGTGGTCGTGGACGTGGACTTGGACGTGGTCGTGGACGTGGACGTGGACATGTCGTGGACGTGGACGTGGACGTGGACGTGGACATGGTCGTGGACGTGGACGTGGACGTGGACTGGACGTGGACGTGGACGTGGACGTGGACGTGGACGTGGACGTGGACGTGGACGTGGACATGGACTGGACGTGGACGTGGACGTGGACGTGGACGTGGACGGGACGTGGACGTGGACGTGGACGTGGACGTGGACGTGGACGTGGACATGGGGACGTGGACGTGGACGTGGACGTGGACGTGGACGTGGATGTAGACGTGGACGTGGACGTTGACGTGGACGTGGACATGGTCGTGGACGTGTCGTGGACGTGGACGTTGGACATGGTCGTGGACGTGGACGTGGACGTGGACGTGGACATGGTCGTGGACGTGGACGTGGACGTGGACGTGGACGTGGACATGGTCGTGGACGTGGACGTGGTCGTGGACGTGGACGTGGACGTGGACATGGCACATGGACGTGGACGTGGACGTGGACGTGGACGTGGACGTGGACGTGGAGATGGACGTGGACGTGGACGTGGACGTGGAGATGGACGTTGACGTGGACGTGGACGTGGACGTGGACATGGACATGGGACGTGGACGTGGACGTGGACGTGGACGTGGACGTGGACATGGACGTGGACGTGGACGTGGACGTGGACGTGGACGTGGACGTGGACGTGGACGTGGACGTGGACGTGGACGTGGACGTGGACGTGGAGGGACGTGGACGTGGACGTGGACGTGGACGTGGACGTGACGGACGTGGACGTGGACGTGTCGTGGACGTGGACGTGGACGTGGACGGGTCGTGGACGTGGACTTGGACGTGGTCGTGGACGTGGTCGTGGACGTGGTCGTAGACATGGACGTGGACATGGACGTGGACATGGTCGTGGACGTGGACGTGGACGTGGACGTGGACGTGGACATGGACGTGGACGTGGACGTGGACATGGACGTGGACGTTAACGTGGACGTGGACGTGGACATGGACGTGGACGTGGACGTGGACAGGGACGTGGACAGGGACGTGGACGTGGACGTGGACATGGACGTGGACAGGGACGTGGACGTGGACAGGGACGTGGACGTGGACGTGGACGTGGACGTGGACGTGGACATGGACGTGGACGTGGACGTGGACATGGACGTGGACATGGACGTGGACGTGGACGTGGACATGGTCGTGGACGTGGACGTGGACGTGGACGTGGACGTGGACATGTACGTGGACATGGACGTGGACGTGGCGTGGACATGGACGTGGACGTGGACGTGGACGTGGACGTGGACGTGGACTGGACATGGACATGGACGTGGACGTGGACGTTGACGTAAACATGGACGTGGACGTGGACGTGGACATGGACGTGGACGTGGACGTGGACGTGGACGTCGACTTGGACGTGGACGTGGACGTGGACGTGGACGTGGACGTGGACGTGGACATGGACGTGGACGTGGACGTAGACATGGACGTGGACGTGGACGTGGACGTGGTCGTGGACGTGAACGTAGACGTGGTCGTGGACGTGGACGTGGACTTGGTCGTGGACGTGACGTGGACGTGGTCGTGGACGTGGACGTGGACGTGGACGTGGACGTGGACGTGGACCTGGACGTGGACGGGACATGGACGTGGACGTGGACGTGGACGTGGACGTGGTCGTGGACCTGGACGTGGGACGTGGTCGTGGACGTGGACGTGGTCGTGGACGTGGACGTGGACGTGGTCGTGGACGTGGTCGTGGACGTGGTCGTGGACGTGGACGTGGACGTGGACATGGACGTGGACATGGACGTGGACGTGGACGTGGACATGGACGTGGACGTGGACGAGGACTTGGACGTGGACGTGGACGTGGACGTGGACGTGGACGTGTACGTGGACGTGGACGAGGACGTAGACGTGGACGTTGACGTGGTGGACGTGGACGTGGACGTGGACACTTGGACGTGGACGAGGACGTGGACACGGACGTAGACGTGGAACGTTGACGTGGTGGACGTGGACGTGGACGTGGACTTGGACATGGACGTGGACGTGGACGAGGACGTGGACGTGGACATAGATGTAGACGTGGACGTGGATGTTGACGTGGACGTGGACATGGTCGTGGACGTGGTCGTGGACGTGGACGTGGACATGGTCGTGGACGTGGACGTGGACGTGGACATGGTCGTGGGACGTGGACGTGGACGTGGACGTGGACATGGTCGTGGACGTGAACGTGAACGTGGACGTGGTCGTGGACGTGGACGTGGACGTGGACGTGGACGTGCACATGGACGTGGACGTGGACGTGGACGTGGACGTGGACATGGACGTGGACGTGGACGTGGACGTGGACGTGGACGTTGACGTGGACGTGGACGTGGACGTGGACGTGGACGTGGACGTGGACGTGGACGTGGTCGTGGACGTGGACGTGGACGTGGACGTGGACGTGGACGTGGACGTGGATGTGGACGTGGACGTGGACGTGGACGTGGACATGGACGTGGACGTGGACGTGGACGTGGACGTGGACTGGACGTGGACGTGGACGTGGACGTGGACGTGGACAGGGACGTGGACGTGGACGTGGACGTGGACGTAGACATGGACGTGGACGTGGACGTGGACGTGGACGTGGACATGGGCGTGGACGTGGACGTGGACGTGGGACGTGGACGTGGACGTGGACGTGGACGTGGACGTGGAGACGTGGACGTGGACATGGACATGGACGTGGACGTGGACGTGGACGTGGACGTGGACATGGTCGTGGACGTGGACGTCGACGTCGACGTGGACGGGGACGTGGACTGGACATGGATGTGGACATGGACGTGGACATGGACGTGGACATGGACATGGACGTGGACATGGACGTGGACATGGACGTGGACGTGGACGTGGACGTGGACATGGACGTGGACATGGATGTGGACGTGGACAATGGACGTGGACATGGACGTGAACGTGGACATGGGACGTGGACATGGACGTGGGACGTGGACACGGACGTGGACGTGGACATGGACGTGGACGTGGACAATGGACGTGGACGTGGACGTGGACGTGGTCGTGGACGTGGACGTGGACGTGGACGTGGACGTGGACTGGACGTGGACGTGGACGTGGACGTGGACGTGGACGTGGTCGTGGACGTGGACGTGGACGGTGGTCGTGGACGTGGTCGTGGGACATGGTCGTGGACATGGACGTGGACGTGGACGTGGACATGGACGTGGACGTGGACGTGGACGTGGACGTCGACTTGGACGTGGACGTGGACGTGGACTTGGACGTGGACTTGCACGTGGACGTAGACGTGGACACGGACGTAGACGTGGACGTTGACGTGGTGGACGTGGACGTGGACGTGGACATGGACGTGGACGTGGACGTGGACGTGGACGTGGACATGGATGTAGACGTGGACGTGGACGTTGACGTGGACGTGGACATGGTCGTGGACGTGGTCGTGGACGTGGACGTGGACATGGTCGTGGACGTGGACGTGGACGTGGACGTGGACATGGTCGTGGACGTGGACGTGGACGTGGACATGGACGTGGACGTGGACATGGTCGTGGACGTGGACGTGGTCGTGGACGTGGACGTGGACGTGGACATGCACATGGACGTGGACGTGGACGTGGACGTGGAACGTGGACGTGGACGTGGACATGGACGTGGACGTGGACGTGGATGTGGACGTGGACATGGACGTTGACGTGGACGTGGACGTGGACGTGGACATGGACATGGACGTGGACGTGGACGTGGACGTGGACGTGGACATGGACGTGGACGTGGACGTGGACGTGGACGTAGACGTGGACGTGGACGTGGACGTGGACATGGACGTGGACGTGGACGTGGACGTGGACAGGGACGTGGACGTCGACGTGGACGTGGACGTGGACGTGGACGTGGACGTGGTCGTGGTCGTGGACGTGGACGTGGACGTGGTCGTGGACGTGGACTTGGACGTGGTCGTGGACGTGGTCGTGGACGTGGTCGTAGACATGGACGTGGACGTGGACGTGGACATGGTCGTGGACGTGGACGTGGACGTGGACGTGGACGTGGACATGGACGTGGACGTGGACATGGACGTGGACGTGGACGTGGACATGGACGTGGACGTTAACGTGGACGTGGACGTGGACATGGACGTGGACGTGGACGTGGACAGGGACGTGGACAGGGGACGTGGACGTGGACGTGGACATGGACGTGGACAGGGACGTGGACGTGGACAGGGACGTGGACGTGGACGTGGACGTGGACGTGGACATGGACGTGGACGTGGACGTGGACATGGACGTGGACATGGACGTGGACGTGGACGTGGACATGGTCGTGGACGTGGACGTGGACGTGGACGTGGACGTGGACATGTACGTGGACATGGACGTGGACGTGGGCGTGGACATGGACGTGGACGTGGACGTGGACGTGGACGTGGACGTGGACATGGACATGGACATGGACGTGGACGTGGACGTGGACGTAAACATGGACGTGGACGTGGACGTGGACATGGACGTGGACGTGGACGTGGACGTGGACGTCGACTTGGACGTGGACGTGGACGTGGACATGGACGTGGACGTGGACGTGGACATGGACGTGGACGTGGACGTAGACATGGACGTGGACGTGGACGTGGACGTGGTCGTGGACGTGAACGTAGACGTGGTCGTGGACGTGGACGTGGACGTGGACGTGGGACGTGGACCTGGACGTGGACGCGGACATGGACGTGGACGTGGACGTGGACGAGGACGTGGACGTGGTCGTGGACCTGGACGTGGACGTGGTCGTGGACGTGGACGTGGTCGTGGACGTGGACGTGGTCGTGGACGTGGTCGTGGACGTGGTCGTGGACGTGGACGTGGACGTGGACATGGACGTGGACATGGACGTGGACGTGGACGTGGACATGGACGTGGACGTGGACGTGGACTTGGACGTGGACGTGGACGTGGACGTGGACGTGGACGTGGACGTGGACGTGGACGAGGACGTAGACGTGGACGTTGACGTGGTGGACGTGGACCGTGGACGTGGACACTTGGACGTGGACGAGGACGTGGACACGGACGTAGACGTGGACGTTGACGTGGTGGACGTGGACGTGGACGTGGACTTGGACATGGACGTGGACGTGGACGAGGACGTGGACGTGGACATAGATGTAGACGTGGACGTGGATGTGGACGTGGACGTGGACATGGTCGTGGACGTGGTCGTGGACGTGGACGTGGACATGGTCGTGGACGTGGACGTGGACGTGGACATGGTCGTGGACGTGGACGTGGACGTGGACATGGTCGTGGACGTGAACGTGGACGTGGTCGTGGACGTGGACGTGGACGTGGACGTGCACATGGACGTGGACGTGGACGTGGACGTGGACGTGGACATGGACGTGGACGTGGACGTGGACGTGGACGTGGACGTTGACGTGGACGTGGACGTGGACGTGGACGTGGACGTGGACGTGGACGTGGACGTGGACGTGGTCGTGGACGTGGACGTGGACGTGGACGTGGACGTGGACGTGGACGTGGACGTGGACGTGGACGTGGACGTGGACGTGGACGTGGACGTGGACGTGGACGTGGACGTGGACTGGACGTGGACGTGGACGTGGACGTGGACGTGGACAGGGACGTGGACAGGGACGTGGACGTGGACGTGGACGTGGACGTGACGTAGACATGGACGTGGACGTGGACGTGGACGTGGACATGGGCGTGGACGTGGACGTGGACGTGGGCGTGGACGTGGACGTGGACGTGGACGGGGACGTGGACGTGGACATGGACATGGACGTGGACGTGGACGTGGACGTGGACGTGGACATGGTCGTGGACGTGGACGTCGACGTCGACGTGGACGTGGACGTGGACGTGGACATGGATGTGGACATGGACGTGGACATGGACGTGGACATGGACATGGACGTGGACATGGACGTGGACATGGACGTGGACGTGGACGTGGACGTGGACATGGACGTGGACATGGATGTGGACGTGGACATGGACATGGACGTGGACATGGACGTGAACGTGGACATGGACGTGGACATGGACGTGGACGTGGACACGGACGTGGACGTGGACATGGACGTGGACGTGGACATGGACGTGGACGTGGACGTGGACATGGACATGGACTTTGACATGGACGTGGACATGGACGTGGACGTGGACATGGACGTGGACATGGACGTGGACGTGGACGTAGATGGACGTGGACATGGACGTGGACGTGGACGTAGATGGACGTGGACATGGACGTGGACGTGGGACGTGGACATGGACGTGGACATGGATGTGGACGTGGACGTGGACATGGACGTGGACATGGACGTGGACATGGACATGGACGTGGACGTGGACGTAAACATGGACGTGGACGTGGACGTGGACGTGGACATGGACGTGGACGTGGACGTGGACGTGGACGTAGACGTGGACGTGGACGTGGACGTGGACTTGGACGTGGACGTGGACGTGGACGTGGACGTGGACGTGGACATGGACGTGGACGTGGACGTGGACATGAACGTGGACGTGGACATGGACATGGACAGGAACGTGGACGTGGACGTGGACATGGACGTGGACGTGGACGTAGACGGTCGTGGACAGTGGACATGGACGTGGACATGGACGTGGACGTGGACGTGGACATGGACGTGGACATGGACATGGACGTGGACGTAGACATGGACATGGACGTGGACGTGGACGTGGACGTGGACGTGGACGTGGACGTGGACATGGACGTGGACATGGACGTGGACATGGACGTGGACATGGACGTGGACATGGACATGGACATGGACGTGGACATGGGACGTGGACATGGACGTGGACGTGGACGTGGACGTGGACATGGACGTGGACATGGACGTGGACGTGGACATGGACATGGACGTGGGCATGGACATGGACGTGGACATGGACGTGGACATGGACGTGGACATGGACGTGGACATGGACGTGGACGTGGACATGGACATGGACGTGGACATGGACGTGGACGTGGACGTGGACGCGGACGTGGACGTGGACGTGGCCATGGACGTGGACATGGACGTGGACATGGACGTGGACGTGGACATGGACGTGGACATGGACGGGGACGTGGACGTAGATGGACGTGGACATGGACGTAGACGTGGACGTGGACGTGGACATGGACGTGGACATGGATGTGGACGTTGACGTGGACATGGACGTGGAAATGAACGTGGACGTGGACGTGGACGTGGACATGGACGTGGACATGGACGTGGACATGGACGTGGACATGGACGTGGACATGGACGTGGACATGGACATGGACGTGGACGTGGACGTGGACATGGACGTGGACGTGGACGTGGACGTGGACGTGGACGTGGACGTGGACGTGGACGTGGACGTGGACGTGGACGTGGACGTGGACATGGACGTGGACGTGGACATGGACGTGGACGTGGACATGGACGTGGACGTGGACATGGACGTGGACATGAACGTGGACGTGGACATGGACGTGGACGTGGACGTGGACGTGGACGTGGACGTGGACGTGGACATGGACGTGGACGGGGACGTGGACGTGGACGTGGACGTGGACGTGGACATGGACGTGGATGTGGACGTGGAGGACTTGGACGTGGACATGGACGTGGACGTGGACGTGGACGTGGACGTGGACATGGACGTGGACGTGGACGTGGACCTGGACGTGGACATGGACGTGGAGATGGACGTGGACGTGGACATGGACATGGACATGGACGTGGACGTGGACGTGGAGGACTTGGACGTGGACGTGGACGTGGACGTGGACGTGGACGTGGACGTGGACGTGGACGTGGACGTGGACGTGGACATGGACGTGGACGTGGACGTGGACATGGACGTGGTCGTGGACGTGGACGTGGTCGTGGACGTGGACGTGGACGTGGACGTGGACGTGGACGTGGACGTGGACGTGGACGTGCATAGGGACGTGGACATGGACGTGGACATGGACGCGGACGTGGACGTGGACATGGACGTGGACGCGGACGTGGACATGGACGTGGACGCGGACGTGGACGTGGACGTGGACGTGGACGTGGACGTAGACGTGGACGTGGACATGGACGTGGACGTGGACATGGACATGGACATGGACGTGGACGAGGACGTGGACGTGGACATGGACGTGGACTGGACGTGGACGTGGACGTGGACATGGACGTGGACGTGGACGTGGAGGACTTGGAACGAGGACGTGGACGCTGACGTGGACGTGGACGTGGACATGGACGTGGATGTGGACGTGGACGTGGACGTGGATGTTGACTTGGATGTGGTCGTGGACGTGGACGTGGACGTGGACTTGGACGTGGACGTGGACTTGGACGTGGACGTGGACGTGGTCGTGGTCGTAGACGTGGACGTTGAGGTGGTGGACGTGGACGTGGACGTTGACGTGGACGTGGTCGTGGACGTGGACATTGACGTGGTGGACGTGGACGTGGACGTGGACTTGGACGTGGACTTGGACGTGGACGTGGACGTGGACATGGACGTAGACGTGGACGTTGACGTGGTGGACGTGGACGTGGTCGTGGACGTTGACGTGGTCGTGGACGTGGACGTAGACGTGGTGGACGTGGACGTGGTCGTGGACGTGGACGTGGACGTGGTGGTGGACGTGGACGTGGACGTGGACGTGGACGCGGTCGTGGACGTGGACGTGGTCGTGGACGTGGACGTGGACGCGGTCGTGGACGTGGACGCAGTCGTGGACGTGGACGCGGTCGTGGACGTGGATGTGGACGTAGACATGGACGTTGATGTGGACGTGGACGCGGACGTAGACGTGGACGTGGACCTGGACGTGGTGGACGTGAACGTGGACGTGGACCTGGACTTGGACGTGGACATGGACGTTTAGCTCTTACGGCTCGCAGCAGCAGCAGCAGCAGCCGTTCAGCCCTTACGGCCTGCAGCAGCAGCCTTCTTGGCAGTACGGACAGGGGGGGTCCTCTTTCGGCCCCTACCAGGGCTCCTTCTTCCAGGGTCCCTCGTACCTTCCCTTTTCTGGTGCACCTGCGCAGCAGCAGTTCTACCAGCAGCCTTTTTTGGGGCCTTCCTTCCAGCAGCAGCAGTTCCTTCCGGACTCTGTCTCTATGAGCGCTGTAAACTCTGGTGGTACCGTCTCTGCCTGGATGGCGTCCCTAATCTCCGCCACCCTGGAAAGTAGAGCAGGGTCCGTGGCAGCCCCAGCCCCTGCACCTGCTGCACCTGTGGCTGCTGCCCCGCCTCCAGAAGTGTCTGGGAAAAGACCACCAAAGACCTGCCGAAACAGCCTCGAGGTAAGAGTGTCTGTCTACTTTCCCCCGGCAGTAGCCTCACCCGCCGCACCAGTGGCTGTCGGCTGCTGCTGCTGCTGCGGCTGCTACTGCTGAGATTGCTGCTGACCCTGCCGCTGCTGACCCTGCTGCTGCTAGGCCTGCTGCTGCCCCTGCTGCTGCTGCTGGCCCTGCTGCTGTGGCTCCTGCTGCGACGACGGTAGCCCAAGCCGTGGTCGCTTCTTGCCGCTGCTGTGCCAAGGTCTCAGCCTCCTGTCTCAGCTGCTCGCGAATGGAAGCTGCCTCCTGTGCCAACTGCTCCCTGTCACGAGAGATCATCCTAACCCAACTATCTATCACGGACCGGTCTCGCAGGATATCCCCCTCGATATTCCTGAGACGAAGCTGCTGCTGTATGCTGCGCTGCCACTCGGCCTGCTGCTCCAGCGCCAACTCTGTCTGTCTGTCCTCCTCGTCTCGCTCGGTCCGTCTACGAGTACGCCAAAACTGCTCAGTAATATCAGCGACAGTAGCTGGTGCACTAGTCTCCATAGCTGCAGCCGCTGATCCCCCCTGGTCTCCTGCACCGCCGACACCGGCTCCTCCCCCAGTGCCTGGCGCTGCAGAAACTCCGAGCCCACCCATGGTGACGTCTAAAAGACTAACGAAACGGAAAAAACTAGGAGTCTGTATCGTCTACGCCACTCTCCAACACCGGCGTCAGTGCAATAGGTTTAGGGTTTGATAGGAATGCTCAAAGAACTGAGCTGCAGTGCTGCTCCAGACAGTCTAGAGTCGCTAACGAAGAAAGTGGCTGTGACGGCCTATCGGTAGGACGAGAGACTAACGGCCTAGACTGGGAGAAGTCGAGGGGCACGAGTCTCTGAAAGTCTAGCCGATGGCACTACTCTAAGGGTAGGCTAGGGCCGCCAGGGGGCAACACGAGGCTCCCCAAGCGGCAGGAAAAAACGACGACGAAAATGGCCTAGCGGAATGCAAGAAAACTGCAAAAACCCTCTAGCTAGGCAAGCAAACTGCTGAAAAAACACAAGTCCTAAGCCTAGGGGTGTAGGGACATGCAATAGAGTAAGTACCTCAAGTGTAGGTAGAAGCAGTCTCGTATCGATTTCGCCACGAAGGCATCATCAGCAAGACAAGGATCTACCCTAGCAAGAGCTCCCTACTTATAGCTGTCCCAACCCAATGTCCTAAAGTGCAATGTGGGCCTAACCTGCCACCTAGGCAAAGAACTGCCCTTGCAGGCTGCCAACTGTGTAGCCTACCAAGGGCCTACACCCAGCTGCCCATATCTCCCAATCCGGGCGCCAGATGGCGAATCCGACGGTTCCGGCAGCCTCCACTCCGTACGGAGCTTATGGTCCGACATATAATGTACAGGGTAACCGTCGGGTCCGGGTGGCAAAAACCGGAACATGCGAACAGTCATGTTCGGGTGCCAGCCCGGCGCTCTCCAGATTCGCGCGAAACCAGAGAGCGTACCACTAAAACGCGCGTAACTCAGCGCTCGGTGCTCCGTTCGGGGCGTGTGAAGGCTCGTCGCAGAGCCCTTCATCAGCCCTACAAAGTGAGATGGAGACCTGCATGTACCTAACAAGCTAACCCCCGAAACTAGAAAGAGGCATAGTCACCCACTCGCGTGCTGTGCCCCCTGGTACTCATAAAGGTCGGGGGCGTGCCAAGTACATGTGCCATGTGTCATGGTACCCCAAATCCCATGGATCCCCACTAGGTGCAAGAGGAGAAAGGCACCCCTGTGCTCATATGGCCAGAGGTGGGGAAGGTACAATGCACATGCTACCAAAACCCAAGTCCCGTGCAAAGAGGAGAAAGGCATCCCAGTACTCATAACGGTCTGGGATGGGGAATGGTACAAGTGTGCAAGTGCGTAACCCACAAATACAATCCACAACGAACGCAGAGTGTAGTCGCAGGTACACTCACACTGCCCCAGGGCCTGACCTGTGTGGCTGAAATCAAAGAAGTCAGGCGGGAGGTTGTCGTGCATCCCTGGGTCCAGCCTCTGTGAGAAAACAAAGAGACTGGACCGGGGATGGTGCTGCTGCGACGGCCCAACCAAATGCAGCACGCCGCTGCGAAGTGCAGAAAGGTGCTCGCTCCAAGGCCCCACCCGTGTGCACGTGCCGTGAAACAAGGAGGAAGGGCGGGGAGGCGGCAGACGACAAACCGAGACGGCACGACACCCACAAAAGACAAGTGACGTGCTGTGAGAGAGGGGCACCCCAGTCACCTGAACGACGCTCGCACGAGTAGCTGTCGGAGCGACGGAGGTGCCCTGTAGGACACGAAAGGTGCCCTGTAGTGAGAAAGCTGCTCAAACGCTGGTGCCTCTGGAGGGAAGGCCAGCAACCTACCCCAGCGGACCTGCTGCACACTCGGGTGGAAGTCGAGAACAAGAGGGAGAACCCGCTGCTGCTCCTCCTGCTCCCCCTCCCCCCGAGCCCGTGACCTGGCAAGAAGCTCCGGGCGTCGTGCGTAGGAGATGCTGCTGAAGATCGGCTGCAAGAAAGTGTCTGGGTACCCCCGCGCCCGCAGCCGAGCGTAGAAGGCCAACCTGATACTCCTAAACCCCTGAGAACTGGACTCCCTCAGAATGTACCGCTGCAGCTCACCCAAGATGAAGCCCCTCTTGCAGTGAGAGGGGTGCGCGGAGGAGAAAGGAAAGTACTGGTACACGTTGAGCGGCTTCTGGAAGGTCGTGGTGTCCAAGATAGCCGTCGTCTGCCAGAGCTCTCCCTTGCTGAACGTGATATCCAGCAAGGTGAACTGTGAGGTGGAGATCTCGTGGGTCAGTCGAATAGTCTGCTCCAACCCACCAAACGCCCCCACCCACTCCAGCAGCCACTCCCGTGTCCCCGTCCAAAACCACCACCCCGTCGTCTATGAACCTGCGGTGGAGAAGGACGTGATGCGACAACTCGGGCTCTGTCTCTAGCAACCTCTCGTCTAACCAAGCCATGAACAGAACCGCGTAGATCACTGCTACAGGCGTGCCCATAGCACTAAATGCGCGTAACTCAGCGCTCGGTGCTCCGTTCGGGGCGTGTGAAGGCTCGTCGGAGAGCCCTTCATCAGCCCTACACAGTGAGATGGAGACCTGCATGTACCTAACAAGCTAACCCTAAACCCTAAACCCTAGCAGGAACACCGGTCGCGGGTAAGGCAGCAACGGCACCAGAAACAACAGCATCGGCTCCCCGTGCCACTCAGGCATTAGCCGCACCAGCAACAGTGGGTACAACAGGCACATCAGCAACAGTCAATGCAGCAGTGACACCTACAGCAACTCACACAGCAGTGACGCCAGCAGCAAGGGTGACAGCAGCAACAGCCGGAGCAACGGGCAACACAGCAGGGATAACAACAGCGGGTGACGCAGAAATGACACTGGTGGTGGCAGATGCAGCACTGGTACTCCCTTCATACACCAACCCAACCTTCACCCCAATTCCAGGGATAACGGGCCTGGATTCACCGGCTCCTACTCCTACTCCCACCGCCCCACAACCAAGTCTGAACCCACCGGCAGCACAAACCAGCCCAATGCCAGGCATGCTACAGGTGGGTAGCACCAGCAGCCTCTTCATACAGGGTGCTGGGCCCAGCGGCATGAGGGGAGCGGGGACAGGGGCGTACACGGCAGCGGAGGAGCAATGTGAACAGCAGCCCACCGCAGCAACGACACTAGCTGCCAGGGAGGAAGAGGACGGGAGAGGGCCGGCCAGGACAGATGCAGATGCAGCCGCTACAGCTATCCCAGCAGCAGGAAGCACCGGCAGGGAGCAGGTGGAACTGAATGAGGGAGCAGGAACCAGCGCAGCCGAGGCAATGCAGAGGGCAAGACAGCCTGCGGAAGAAGCTGATGACACGAGACGAGCAACGGCAGGGATCTCTGTGCTAGCAACAATGAGGCTGGGAGAACCCTTGGTTGTCACAAGCAAACCGCCTAAGCGATCTCCCACGAGCTTGCGAGGGCACTGGTGAGCTACCCCCTAACGGAACAGCACCCATCATGCCACCCACTACCGCGCTGCAGCAAGGACAGAGCCACCCGGGCAGCCCCACACCACCTTTGCCGGTACAGGATAATGCAGCAGAAGCCGCACCGCAAGCACAGCAGTAGCCGAACGATAGCAGCAGCAGTGAAGGGACCAAGGATGAAGGACCTAACAGGGACGGGACCCATATCCTCTACTGCCCTGTGGAGTTTGACCCATGTGGAGGAGAGGACGAAGCAGAGCATCCCGAGCAGCCTATAAGCCCAAAGAGCCAGGAAGACGCAGCCCCAGAGAGTGTGAAGCTGACAAAGAGAGAGATTGGCAAGACAACAGCAGCTCTTATGCGGGGTGAGCAGTTCGGCATGAAGGGTTTGGAAGCGGCATATGGGCTACAGGAAGCGGAAGATCTCCCTGCTGTTTGGCACCGTTTCTTCGAAGACATGCAGTCAATGCTACTCAACAAAGCACCACCAGAGCCCCCCTCTTCCTCGCCCTTCAAGACCATACCCGAGCTTTTACGCAAGGCGCTCGAGAAGGAGCTGGCCTCTTTCAAGAGCTGCCTTCGCACCTTCAGCAAGGTATCGAACGGCCTATGTGAGCTTCAGCAGCAGTTCAGGGATGGGGAGGTTTCCCACGCTCTCCGGATTACAACCCCAACGCTACAGCTAACTGACCCTACCCTACAAGAGAAGCTGAACCAGGCCCTAGACAATGAGCTGAAAACCTTCAAAACAAAAGCTCAACTGACTCTGATAGGGTACAAAGAAAAGGAGAAGGCTCACTGGGAGGGGGCAGCAGAGGTATGGACGGCACGGACATACTCTCGCTTCGAGAGCTTCCTGGAGAAAGACCTCCACCTTTTCGAGACACATGCAGCACCTGATACCCCTACACCCGATGCTCACCTCAAGGAGCTGGCTGTCGACTACATGGCACGGGGCATGGCACGAGAGCTGATGTACCATGTTGTGTGGATCAAGGGCAGCCGCAACTCAAAGGCAAGGGGGGCAGCTAAACGGGAGAAGGCACGGGCTGAACAGGCACTGAGGGAGGAGATTCAAGCTAACCCTTCTACTGACCTGATTGGGCTGGTGAAAACTCTGGTTGGCCCCCTACAGCAACGGGTAGAGGCCCTGGAGCGGCGGCAGCCTAGGAGCGGGACTGCGGTAGAGCACGGGAAGGCAGCGGGAAAGAGCAGGGCTCAACGTCGTAAAGAAGCGAAGAGAAACAAGGCACGAAACGGAACCACCTCACAGCAGCCCACAGCAGCAACAGCCCCTCAGGCAGGGAGGACCGCGGGGGGGACAGTGGCTATTCCAGCAGCAGCAACATCAGCAGAGGGACTGGGGGGAGGCGAGATACAAGCCGGGGGGGTGACTGAAATAGCAGCAATAGTTACACCGGCAACAGTTGCTGCGACGACAGCAGGACCAGCAGCCATTGCAACGGAAATGCAAGGAGCAGCAGGACCAACGGCAGCAATAGCTTCAACCAGTGCCACTACACAGCCAGCGCCAGCACCAGTAGCAACAACACCAAGGGCAGCAGACACAGCTACGCCATCGGGAGCAGCCGGAGTAGCAGCACAACCGGCACCAGCGACGATCTCTGCTGCAACACTTCCGAGGCATGCGGAGGGCAGACAGCGGGGAAGAAGCCTGCAGGCGGCAGTGAGGACCTCGCAGCCATCCGCGGCAGCCATTGCGACTGCTGCGGCGGTGAAGGTAGCTATGCGTGGGTTGAAGGTAAACCGGTCTAGGCAACGCCGCACTGACACAGCTCACACAGCTTTACAGGCACCTTGGCAGCGGCACTATGCTCTCCGCATGGCACCCCAACACCCCCCACAGTACGAAAGGCCAGCAATGCACGCGAACGGGAGTGCACCACAGAGAGCACCAGGGCGGGCACAGCAGAGGGAACACACGGAAGAGAGGGGCCAGTTGAGAAGCACGCAGAGAGAACAGCCTCAGAGCACACAGTTAGGTCGAGGACAGCCAGTGCAGACCGGGCAGCAGCCCGATCCAGGACCCTCACTTGACCGCACTGCTCAGGAGACACGAGACCCAGCTGATGGCACTCAAATGGCACCAATGCAGACTGCACAGCAACCCAACACCCCTGCCCAGCCCGCCCCCAAGCACCCACGCAACCAGCAGCACCCGCATACACCTTCATGGCAGACCCCGCATTCCCCAACATGTACCAGCCCTACCCCTTCGCACCCATGCATCCCAGCCTGAACTATGGCAGCCTTCTCTCGCCTCATGCACATCCCTTCTTCTTCCCCCAACAGGCTGTCCCCTTACAACAGACCTCGGCACTGGCCCAGCCGGCTCTCTCAAACATGTCGGTCATGTCAGCAACACCTGCGCCACCAGCATACCCCTTTGCAACCACAGGTCCCCCCTCCCAGCAGGTTACACAAGGACCACAAGCCCAGGTGGCGTTTGGGCCCCCTAGAGGTACGGGGGCAACACTTAACGCCAACTATGGCCCCGCTGCCGTCCCCATCCCCATGCGTTTTTTATGGTGAAAGTCCCTCCCCTTCCCACCCAGAATAGCGCAGGTGGTTCTGCGAGCCCAAGAACAGTCACGGACCACAACGCTAACCTGAGGTATGTACACCAGCCCCCACTCAACACGTCCCCTCTCCCAAGCCCAGTAAACACACCGCTCAGTAGTGGACAACAACAAACCAACGTCGATACCAGACCTCGAGACACACCAGGCCAGCCCTCTTACTCTCTGCCCAGCTCATCTAACACCCCACCGTCAAAGGACACGTCTCACAAGAACGAAGTAAAAACCCCTCCTCCCCTACACCACTCAGCTGCACCAAATGACACCAACCAGCAGGTAAGCCTTCACAGAGCCGGGAAGCAGCCCCGTTCAAGGCCCAGGAAAAACAACTTTCGCAGCCCTTTGACCCCTACCCAGAAACGCCTCCTGTGAACATCCCAAACCGTTGTCCAAGACGAGCTCAACTCCAAGTTCATACACAACAAATCCTCACTCACCTTATCGCCCACAGAACTTGAGGGCCTAAGCTTAGGACTCTCTTTCATCCCAACACCCTCATCCGCCACTGAAAAAACAGTAAGGAGTGCCCTCGCACGTTTCGTGAGAAGTGTGAGGCTGATCTCACACTTCTCTTCCGACAAACCAGCCCCACGCTTCCGTATCCCAAAACCATCGTATCAGCCCAACCCTGCACTGCCCCCTGTTGAATGCTATATAGCTGAGGTGGAAGAGAAGATCTCTAAGCATCTTCCACTTATGACGCGCCCAGCTCGCAGGAACATGAGCGTGCATGCGTTACGCTGCTTGAAAAGGCTGGGCAAGAACCCAAAGGTCGTGGTGAAGCCAGCGGACAAAAATCTTGGACTGGCCCTACTAGACACCTCATGGTATCGAACGGAAGCACTCAGACAGCTATCAGACACTAACACATACACCCCAGTGGAAGCGGTACCTATGACTGACTTGTACAAACGTCTAAACACCTGGTGCTCGAGGTACGAGAGAAGTTTCCCTCCGGAAACCATCGAGTACATCCTGCAACCAAGGGTTGAAGAGCGCGCAGGCGCAGAACACGGGCAGTTTCGTGTATGCAGGTTCTACCTACTGCCGAAACTGCACAAAACGCCCGTCAAAGGAAGACCGATATGCTCATCTACGCCCTGGATTTTCGAGCACCGCCAGCCAGGTACTAGATCACTATCTACGCCCGCTTCTGACCTTGGCACCAGCCCACCTACCAGACTCGATCACCCTGTTGCACACACTCCGCACCCTATCGATACCTGAACACGCCATCTTTCTGACGTACGATGTGGAAAGCCTGTATCCGTCGATTCCGCTACAACAAGGCCTCACTGCCATTCGAGAAACGAAAGACAAATTTGTACGCAAGCATGGCTACCCGGTGTACTCTGAGAAGGGCCCCGCTAAGCAGCTCAGCGCCTGTTGCGAGCTGCTGGAGCTAGTCATGACGGAAAACCACCTTCAGTTTGACGATAGGTTCTATCGACAGATCCGCGGTACTGCCATGGGGACCCCAGTAGCAGTGATCTACGCAGTGCTGTTCATGAGTTGGTTGGACACCCTCATGGAGGAACAATACCCTTCACTATCAGAGCACGTACTACTGCACAGGCGATATATCGACAACGGACTCGTGGTCTGGACTGGATCGCTAGCAGATCTACATAGCTGGATAGAGGGGTACAACAGTCTCATGGACGGCATCCGCATCACTACTGAGATCAGCACCACATCATTTACACTGCTCGACATCACTTTCAAAAAAGGTATGCAGTGGGAAGCTGCTGGGAAGGAGAATGCGGGAGGCGGTTTTTTGGATACCTTGGTATACCAAAAGCCTGTGAACGTCTATCAATACTTTCCGTTTCGCTCTGCGCACCCGCGACACTGCAAGCGGGGTTTCATTATCGGTGAGCTGTATCGCTATCTCCTAAGAGAGTCATCTGAGGAGGGCTTCCGACGTATGAAGTCTGCGTTCGCAGATCGCTTGAAGGCACGCGGCTACCACTCAACCTTCATTCAACAGATCTTCGACGAAGTACAGTACAGCGATAGGGATGCACGCCTACGGCGCTCAGAACAAGGTAAGCAACGCGACAACAGGGTACTACCTTTCATACTAGAGTACCACCTGAGCCTCGAGCACCCACGTGTAAAATCTCTACTTCGCTCCGAGACCAGTAAAGTGACCTTGAAGACGCTCTGCCCCAGACAGCCTTTCTTTTGCTTTCGTGCGGCACCAAAGCTTAGGAATGTGCTAGTCCGTGCTGCATTTACAAGTGGGGATGCCCCAGATGCCTCAGAATGCAGTGCCACGTGAGTGCTATGCCAGGTCAGTTTATACACCGCTTCAATCTCTCACCCTGAATGTCGTCATCTCGCCTTGCCTCATCTCCCATTGTTGTATCTCAATCATCGAAGGGGGCTGCGCCCCCCCCCCCCGAACCCCCCCTCCCCACTTCTCAACACATTTTACCCGAGCCACATCACCTCAACACTACTACTCTGTACTCCCTCATCCTCATTTACCCCACCCCACCCTCACTCTTACAGACTACTGGAGGGGCACTACAACGGGCTGCAACGCTCACATTCACACCTCTTTTTGTCTTTCTACTTCTCTGCCCATCGCCCGTATCCCTCCCCGCACACACCCGCACGCCCCGCATACATCTGCTTCCATGACACATCCTCACGCATGCACTCAACCCACCGCACACATCATCATCATACCATCAACCATTAATGCACGCGTCCATCAGCACCTACTGTCCCACCCCAAGCTCCAACGCAACACCACACGCTTCACGCTACTGCTGGCATGAGCGCACACACGGGCACGTTGATGATAAAATACTGTCACGACAGCCCCAATACAGCTGTGCGCGTCGCCTAGGCTGGTTTACATTCACAGAGAAAAATAACAAATCCCACACATATCTATTCTCACCCTGCATTTCCTCCTGTCATTTCCCTGCCTAGCATTTTCCCCTGCTACATGCCATATGTATTCCTCGCATTGTACCACTACGCAGGCCTCAACTCACCTAGAGCGCGCCACAGGAAGCAAGAAAATATAATACCCAACGACTACCTAATTGCTTTCTTAGTTGATTTATCACTTAGAAAAAAAATATAATAGTCTTTTGGGGGTTGTACAATTTCAGTGGGGCGCTACTAAAAGGGATGGGTCTTTCTTTCCCAACCCTTTCTTCCTTACTTAGGCTAGGTCTCACCACTCTTGCTGCTGTTAGCACTGATGATGGCCTTTCAAATGGCCGAAATGCATTTGCAACAGTAATTTCAGCAGCCCTAGTGCATTACCTTAGCTTGAAAAGAGAAGAAAAGGTTAAAATAGCTCTTTTTCCGCGTATCTCACGGAGCAATTCGCGAGCAGCATCGCGTCACCGCACTGAACCACAATCGCGATTTCGACGGGCGAGTCGTTTCTTGGCGAGAAATTTTTTTCTCGCCAAGTCAACTCGAATTCCCCCCCCCCCCCCCCCCCCCCCCATTTCTCGATTCTTGACTCCCGAGGTGCACGCGTCAAATGCGCGCCCCGGTTTCAATTTTTTCAGCACCCCCACCCAATTTCAATTCGACCCACACCTTCCCAACCCACACGCCACTCATCTCCTCCTCCTCTCACGCTACCTGAGGAGCCTCCTAAGTAGTAAAGCCGCCCCAGCTTAAACTGGGATTTACTAGCAGCTGCAACTAGGCTTATTTTTTATAATCAAACCCTAAACCCTAAACCTTAAACCCGAAACCCTAAACTCTAAACCCTAAACCCTAAACCCTAAACCCTAAACCCTAAACCCCAACCCTATGTCGAAATATGTTATTCATATTTATATAATTGTCTGTAGTGTTAGTGTAGTTATGTTTCCCGTTTGGTGGTGCACCTCATTACCCTAGTTCTTGCCTATATCTTTGTACCTTTGCTCTTTATTGAACCCTTCTTCTTCACTCTCGACTTTTCAACATTCTCGATACTCAATTCACTTGACCTCCTAAACCATGGCTCCTAAGCCCACCTTTGTCTAGCCTTTCCACACCCTAAACCCTAAACCCTAAACCCTAAACCCTAAACCCTAAACCCTCAACCCTAAAACCCTAAACCCTAAACCCTAAACCCTAAACCCTATGTCAGAGGTCCACTGGTGATCCCCGATCGATCCTAGGGAAGTGTTACAGGCATGTTGGCCTGGGGGGTTATGGGCGCACTAACCCGCTACTTAACAAGCCCTTTTATCCCAATGGTCTAGTGGTTGGGATTCTGACATGGTATCAGAGCGGTCTCGGGTTCGAATCCCGGTGTATGCACTTCGGGCATCCCAGTGCGGGGGGGTGTCAGAGGTCCACTGGTGATCCCCGATCGATCCTAGGGAAGGGTTACAGGCATGTTGGCCTGGGGGGGTTATGGGCGCACTGACCCGCTACTTAACAAGCCCTTTTATCCCAATGGTCTAGTGGTTGGGATTCTGACACCCTAAACCCTAAACCCGGGTCACGTGGATGCACTTGTCTGGGCCTTTTGCCAAGCCAGCAAGGGCATGGGATGGTTACGAGCATCATCGGTCATCGGCGCTCGCGAATGAAGAGCGCCCGCTGCACTTCCTGCACATGTGCGGATCCTTCCGGGTTTTGGGGCTAGACGCGCTCGTTCCGAGCGTTTTTCTTCCGCCGGGTTACGTGGCTGCGCTTGTCCGGGCTATTGCCAAGCCAGCAAGGGTGTGGGAGGGTTGCGAGCATCATCGGTCATCGGCGCTCGCGAATGAAGAGCGCCCGCTGCACTTCCTGCCCATGTGCGGATCCTTCCGCGTTTTGGGGCTAGACGCGCTCGTTCCGAGCGTTTTTCTTCTGCCGGGTCACGTGGCTGCGCTTGTCCGGGCTATTGTCAAGCCAGAATGGGCGTGGGAGGGTTGCGAGCATCATCGGTCATCGGCGCCCGCAAATGAAAAGCGCCCGCTACACTTGTCAGAATCCCAACCACTAGACCATTGGGATAAAAGGGCTTGTTAAGTAGCGGGTCAGAGTGCGCCCATAACCCCCCAGGCAAACGCGCCTGTAACCCCCCGTAGGATCAATCGGGCATCCACAGTGCAGATCTACTGACACACCCCCACACTGGGAGGCCCAGGACTGAGCACAGCGGCAACGGCCTACATGTGCATACACCGGGATTCGAACCCGAGACCACTCTGACACCATGTCAGAATCCCAGTCACTAGACCATTGGGATAAAAGGGCTTGTTTCAGTAGCGGGTCAGTGCGCCCATAACCCCCCAGGCAAACACGCCTGTAACCCCCCCTAGGATCGATCGGGGATCTCACAGTGTAGCTCTACTGACAACACTTCCTGCATAGGTGCGGATTCTTCCTCGTTTTGGGGCTGGAAGCGCTCGTTCCGAGCGTTTTTCCGCCGGGTCACGTGACTGCGCTTCTCTAGGCCTATTGTCAAGCCAGCAAGGGTGTGGGAGGGTTGCGAGCATCATCAGCCATCGGCGCTCACGAATGAAGAGCGTCCGTTGCACTTCCTACAGACGTGCGGATCCTTCCGAGTTGGGGCTGGAAACACTCGTTCCGAGCATTTTTCTTCCGCCGGGTCACGTGGTTGCCCTTATCTGGGCCTATTGCCAAGCCAGCAAGGGGTGGGAGGGTTGCGAGCATCATCGGTCATCGGCGCTTGCGAATGAAGAGTGCCCGCTGCACTTTCTGCACATGTGCGGATCATTTCGCGTTTGGGTGCTGGAAGCGCTCGTTCCGAGCGTTTTTCTTCCTCCGGGTCACGTGGCTGCGCTTTTTTGGGCGTATTGCCAAGCCAGCAAGGGCGTGGAAGGGTTGCGAGCATCATCGGTCATGCGTTTGCGAATGAAGAGTCCCCGTTGCACTTCCTGCGCATGTGCTGATCCCTCCTCGTTTTGGGGCTGGAAGCGTTCGTTCCGAGCGTTTTTCTTCCGCCATGTCACGTGTTTTTGCTTGTTTGGGCCTATTGCCAAGCCAGCAAGGGCGTGGGAGGGTTGCGAGCATCATCGGTCATCGGCCCTCGCGAATGAAGAGTGCCCGCTGCATTTTCTGCACATGTGCGGATCGTCTCGAGTTTTGGGCCTGGAAGCGCTCGTTCTGAGCGTTTTTCTTCCACCGGGTCACATGGCTGCGCTTTTCTGGGCCTATTGCCCAGCAAGCAAGGTTGTGGAAGAATTGCAAGCATCATCGGTCATCGGCGCTTGCGAATGAAGAGTGCCCGCTGTACTTCCTGCGAATGTGTGGATCCTGTCAGAATCCCAACCACTAGACCATTGGGATAAAAGGGCTTGTTTCAGTAGCGGGTCAGTGCGCCCATAACCCCCCAGGCAAACGCGCATGTAACCCCCCCTAGGATCGATCGGGGATCTCACAGTGTATCTCTACTGACACCCCCCCACACTGGGAGGCCCAGGACTGAGCACAGTGGCAACGTCCAACATGTGCATAGACCGGGATTCGAACCCGAGACCGCTCTGATACCATGTCAGAATCCCAACCACTAGACCATTGGGATAAAAGGGCTTGTTTCAGTAGCGGGTCAGTGCGCCCATAACCCCCCAGGCAAACGCGCCTGTAACCCCCCCTAGGATCGATCGGGGATCTCACAGTGTAGCTCTACTGACAGATCCTTCCGCGTTTTGGGGCTGGAAGCGTTCGTTACGAGCGTTTTTCTTCCGTCGGGTCACGTGGTCACGTTTGTCTGGGCCTATTGCCAAGCGAGCAAAGGCGTGGGAGGGTTGCGAGCATCATTGGTAATCGGCGATCGTGAATGAAGAATGCGCGCTGCACTTCTTGCACATGTGCGGATCCTTCCGCGTTTTGGGGCTGGAAGCGTTCGTTCCGAGCGTTCTTCTTCCGCCGGGTCACGTGGCTGCGCTTGTCTGGGCCTATTGCTAACCCAGCAAGGGCGTTGGAGGGTTGCGAGCATCATCGGTCATCGGCGCCCGCGAATGAAGAGCGCCCTCTGCATTTCCTGCACATGTGCAGGTTGTTTGCGGTTGACCAGACAAGCACAGCTAAAACATAGTTTTGCTTGCAGATTGATTCAAAAACACTACACACATCCACCATGCAAAACCTTTGTATAGAACCAGGGCTGACGATTCAAATATGGGTACCCTGTTTTCAATCCCCCTAAAAATTATTTACCCTGAAGGCACATTTTCCGCAAAACGCCAAGCCTGAGCCTTCTTGCGATGTTCAGGGTTCACGAAATCGTAAGTCTGGGCTGTCAGGGTTGGCGGATTGAATTCAGGGTTGAATTTGTACTTCTTTCTAGTTTGGCGAGAAAAGCAGTGACGTGTTTGACGCGAGAAATCTAGCTGGATTGGCGGATTGGCTGGAGGGAGTGCATGTGGCTTGGGAGGAAGGATCTCCTAGGGGCGCAGGGGCGAGAGCGAGGGGTGTGCAAAGGGGGAGGGAGCAAGTGAGTGGGATGGGTGGGGGTGGGGGTATTTCGTGACCGCGGGTCGTCCGCACAAAAGGGGGAGACGGGGGGCAGGAAATGGGGGAACGGACTGCTCATGGGAGGGGTGTCGAGACTCGACCTGGTTTTGGTGGGGGGGGGTTGTGGGAGGGGGACGTTTTTCAATGTTAGTGTCTCGTTTAGTTTCACAATTATTCTAATGTACACATGTTTTTCCAAAGTTAGCGAAAAACAGCTGATTACTAAAAACTATGTCACATGGCAATACGGTGTTTCACTACGGATGGTTTTCTTTTATCTCCTGCCGAATCACTTTGCGATCCGCCAGATCGTGACTTGTTTTCTCGGTTTAAGTTTACAGATAACCAAAATCAGAAATCGAATGTTTAGTCATTCTAACAGAAAAGTAGTGTACTGCGATAACCTGGATAGCGCGAATGGAGTCTCTGAGATGGGAGCAAGCGTAATCATGATTACGCACATGTGGGTTATCAGGACGAAGATTCCTGGAAGCTTCGTCCCGATAACGTTGCATTCAGGGTCAACAGGACGCATACTCTGTATGGACAGGGTCCTTAAGAACACTACTCTGAGTGTATACAAAATTCCAGGGTTCGCTAAAGTACTACTCTGACAAGATCAGTGTTCAGAAGACGTTAAACCTGAAATTACAGGGACCAGAATGTGACAAGTCTGAAATCACCCTGAAATCAGGGTAATTACCCTGATAAAATCAGCCCTGTATAGAACCTTCTACCTTGAGTGAAGGACACGAGTTGGTATAAAATTGCTTTCAACTGAATTGGTGGTGTTTCCAATTGCTGCTTAGTGAGGTTTCTGCCGCCTGCCTTTCCGCCGAGGGGGTGGGCCCTTGTCACTACATTGGGATGCTGTTCTGAGGGCATCTGAGAGCTGGGTGGGGCTCAAGGCGCCAGTGCTCACAGCACGGGCGAGGAGGGTCACCATCTCTTCCTCACTAAGCTCCACACGCACTCCGCCGCCGCTGCTGCCCCCTGCCATGCCTGCTGCCCACCCCTCCTCGCGCTCTTCCCTGCCCCGGGCGCTGCCCCTGCCCCCTCTGCCCCTCTGGCGCTGGCTCCTGGGCGAGGCGGAGGATGCAGGCGGCGAGGGTGGGTGAGTGGAGAGCTTGAAGTGGAAGGAGGGCTTGTGCGTGTTGGGCGGGCACTGCATGCCCTGCCAGCAGCAAGGGCGCACGGGGCACACAGGAGAATCACATATATGTTTGATAAACACATCACTCACTCCCAAACCATTGGCTGCTGAGAGGCTGAGGGGGCTGTGGGGACGTTCCAGATGAGCTAAGCGTGTTCCAGACTGCAAGTCACCATTCCATGATCAAGCCCCAGCTTTGCGGGTCCAGCGTTGCTTGTGGACAGCAGAAATCGGGTGGCTGAACGAGCAGAGGAAAATCGAGCAAACAACAGAAGCTCACCTGGCAGAGCAACCCACCTGGCAGCACCGCAACCCACCTGGCAGCACCGCAACCCACCTGGCAGCACCGCAACCCACCTGGCAGCGCGCCCAGTCAGTGATGTGGTAGACCTGCCCGTCCGTACACGTGTAGAAGTGCTGTGGGCCCTTCTGCTCGCACGGAAGGGGGGTATGGGGCAGGGGAAGCGATGGCGACATTGTGACACGAGGGGAGGTGAGTGAAGAAGCATGGCGTAAGAGTGGCAGTGCTGTGAGAGTGGCAGTGCTGTGAGAGTGGCAGTGCTGTGAGAGTGGCAGTGCTGTGAGAGTGGCAGTGCTGTGAGAGTGGCAGTGCTGTGAGAGTGGCAGTGCTGTGAGAGTGGCAGTGCTGTGAGAGTGGCAGTGCTGTGAGAGTGGCAGTGCTGTGAGAGTGGCAGTGCTGTGAGAGTGGCAGTGCTGTGACAGTGGCAGTGCTGTGACAGTGGCAGTGCTGTGCCGGCTGGTGAGTGCAGAGTGTGTGGCAGCATGTGCACTCACAACAGATAGCATGCCAAACAAGGCAGGCTGGGGAAGTTGCTCCACCCAGCCATCCCCCTCCTTGCATGGGTGGTGCCTCTGACACTCCTGCCACATGAACGCATGCACGCGGGCACACGAGACCACAGGCACACACGCACACGAGAACACACGCACACACGCACACGAGAACACACGCACACACGCACACGAGAACACACGCACACAGGCACACAGGCACATTGGCATACACGCACACAGACGCCTACACTTGCACAAAAGCATGGTACGCAGTCTTCCTCCCATGAAAAAAATAAGTGAAGAACTCGAACTGCACTCCACCTATGACCATCAGCCTCCACTGCACACGCCCCCACCTGCCACTGCATCCCACTCCACCCCAGTGTACCCCATTGCACCCCATCGCACCCCACCTGGCACCAGCGGGCTTGGCTGCAGGGGCGGGAGACGGGGCGCCACACATGCGCCATCCCACACTCAGTGCAAGCCACTGGCCGCCCCCCCTCCTCCTCCTCGCCCCCTGCTGTCCCCCCTGCCTGCCCCATCCCCCCTCCACCTTTTCCTCCTGCCCCGCCCATGCCCCCTGCTGCCGCCCTGCCAGTTGTTGTGCTGCTCGTCTGGACACCACATGGGGTTGTAAGCGGGGAAGGGGGGGGGAAGGGGGAATTCGGGGGGGAGGGGAAAGGATTTGGGAGAGGAGAAGCAGCGGAATTGAGTAAATGCAGGGACGAGGAAAATCCATCCGCCAACTCCGCTTCCTACCACCACGCCTTCCTCACCTGCTTCCCCCGCCTCCTGCCACCACCATACACACGGCACCCTATCAGCCCCCCCCCTCGTTCTTATCAGTTTTTGTCTGCCTACCACTCCATAGTTACCCGCACCCCCAGTGCTAAGCTAACTCGCCATCAGCCCAAACTACACTGGACTGCCATATCGCACTGACCTGCCACGTCAGCACGGACCTGCCAGCCACGTGAGCACGGACCTGCCACGTCAGCACGGACCTGCCACATGTGTGCAGCCCTGCGTGTGATGAGCTCCACGAGCTGCTCGCGCCTCAGCTCGCCCTCGTACTCTCGCCGCCTCCCCTCGTCTGATAGCACCTGCCCTCAGCCCCACCACCACCACACACACACACGCACACACACACATGCACACACAGACACACACGCACGCATGCACGCACGCACGCACAACTGACCGCGTTGAAGCACAAGCAAAGGGAGAAGGGAGGGGATGCCAACGAGCACATGGCGTGGCGTGGCGTGGCGTGGCGTGGCGTGGCGTGCACTGGTGGTCAGTGAGTCATTTGTGAAGAGAGCACATGGTGTACCTCGTATGGCATGGTGTACCTCGTATGGCATGGTGTACCTCGTATGCGCTCTGCAGGCGTTGAAACGCCACTATGGCATTCTTCTCGTCCTCCCCATGCTTGTCCGGATGCACTAGCATTGCCTGCACGTCACATGCACATGCACAGGCACATGCACAGGCACACGCACACGCACACGCACATACACATGCACACGCACATACACACAAATCAACACAGTCAGTCGGCCACTGCTTTGGTCAGTTGACCCCATACTACAAGCTCACGCGTAATTCCCACAAACCTCTTCACACTCTCTCTTCTCCCAGCCTCTTCCCAGAATCCTATCCTCCCCAGCCTCGTCCCCTTCCCCCGAGCCCCTCCCTCTTCCCAAGTCACCCTGCCCCCCCCATGCGCCCTCTCCCATTCCCCCCTCCCCCCCCTCCCCCCGGCCCCACCATGCGGCGGTATTCCTTCTTGAGGGCGCCCTCATCCACAGCCGCACAGAAGGGCGCCAGGCGAAGCACCTCGTAGTGGTTGCCGCACCGCACTATGCGCTCTATCTCCCCGCCCCCACTCGCCTCTCCCCTGCCCCCCTCTCCCCCTGCCAACCCCGCTTCCCCCTCCCCTGCCGCTCCCCCCACCCCTCCTGACTTCTCCCCCCCAGCCGCGCTTGCTTGGGACTGGTTCGGAGGGGTTGAGTCGGGTTGGGCGGGGTCGTCGTGGAGGGAGGAGGCGAGGAGGAGCAGCAGGTCGGCGGCGAGGAAGGAGGCGAGCAGCGTGAGGCACAGCGTGGTGAGCCCCGCGCGCACCACCACATGGTACACCGTCGATGCCACCAGCAGCAGCAGTGCTGCTCGAGGAGACCCGCTCGCTGCCACTATCCCTGGTGGATGCAGGGGGGTGGATGCGGGAGCACGCGGGAGAACAGGGGGAAGAGAGCACAGGTGGGAGGGGTTGGCGTTGGGGAGTTGGAGGAGCAGGTGAGCACGAGAAGGGGAGCAAGGGGAGGCGAGCCTGTCCGTGTGTGTGGGCAAGAAAGGGGAACAGTTAGTGTTTGAACAATCCTCCCTGCTTTGAATGGGGCGGGGCTGACCTGCTGTGAGGGCGGTGGCGAGGGCGAAGAGCAGCAGCTTGGCGCGCAGCGCTGTGAAGAGCGCCAGCAGCACCAGCAGCGCGAGTGTGAGCAGCAGCGGCAGGAAGAACGACAGCAGCACCAGCACCACCTGCTCGCCACAGCGGATGGGAGGCGGGCGTGTGCAGAGGGTTGGGTGGGGGAAGAGAGGGCAGAAGTGGGTACAAAGCAGGTGGTGTGGGAGGCGTCAAGGGAAGGGAAGAGTCACGTGGGGATGGCGGCGATTAGAGTGGCAGGGGGGTTGCACGCACAAGGAGGGGATGTGTGAGGCATGGGGTGGATGGAAGGGGGTGGGAGAGGGGGCGGGCGAGGGGGCGGGCGAGGGGGCGGGCGAGGGGGCGGGCGGGGGGGGAGCGTACGAGGGAGGGCAGGAGCACGAGCCAGCCGAGGGTGCGACCCATGCCCACCAGCGCGCCCACCAGCGGCAGCACCGCCGACCCCAGCGACGGCGGCACCAGCGACGCGCACCCGCGGATCACGAACGCCGCGGCCGCAACCGCCGCCCACAAGCCCGCCGCCGCCGCCAACCGCGCTGCCGCCCCCGCCACGCGCCACGCGACCGCGCAGTATCGGCCCGCTCGCTCCGCGAACGCGCTCCCCGCGCTCTCACGCCGCGCCCATGGGGGGAAGCCGTTTGCGGGGCCCCTACTGTGCCATTGTGGTGACGGCGATCGTGGCGACGCTGACGACGCGCCGTGCGACGTGCTATGCGACGATGCTGCTCGCGACGAGGCGGCGTGCGGTCGTTTCCCCGAGGCCCGGGCGGGACCTCTCCGCGCCTCGCCCCTCGCCATGACGCGGCGCACCCAGCAGGGGGACTCGCGGCGGCGATTGCGGCGACAATTGCGCGGTCTAGGGCCCAGCTACGAAGGCATCTTGCGCGGCCGCGCAAGGAGAGACGGGAGAGCACAAAATTAAACGGAGCTGACTCGGAGAACGGTGGGGCTCGATTGTGTCTTGGAGGAGTGGCGGGAATAGCGCGCGTAAACTAAACTGAGGATGGTGGGATGGCCACTAACGGCACAAAGCGTGTTCTTTAGGAACTCCCATAGAGGCTCTTGACAATGAACGGGTCAACGCATGCTCTACATCCAGACTATTGCTCTTACACTGTACGCAGTATAAGATGACAGGGTATGTTTACAGAAGATAGAATGGTGCGGGGAATCTTCTTTAAAGCTTTCCAAATGTTGTTTGCAACTGGCTGTACATTTTTCCTATAATAGATAGATCAATCGGACCCTCTAAAACTGAGCATGAACATTTGCATCAGCAAGACAGTTTCTGCACTCCCTATTCTTATTCCCACTTGAAGCGGCAAGTCTTAGGCACACAGTCAGCATGGCATCTAGCAGATGCCGGCACGCCATGCCCTCTGCTGCACCCTCACCACCACTGCTCACCGAGCAGCACCGCTCACCCCTGCAACATCCTGCATCCCCCACCAGCTCTCCCGCCTGTGACCTCTCACCAAACTCCCCGTTCACGTTCCCTGACTCCCCTCGCCGCTCCTCCACCGCTTCCTTATCTGCCCGTGTTTCCACTCCGTGCCGCCGCTGCAGCTCCTCCAGCAGCAGATGGGCCACCCCACATGCCGACGCCGCTACTCGATGCACGTGCCGCCGCACACGCGACCCACATCGCCCCTGCCCTGCCACGTGGCAGTCTTGCATTGGCTCTGGGACTGCAGCAAGGCATGTGTCTGGGTGCAGCGTGTACTGCAAGGGCTGTGAGTAGGTCTTATGTCCTCCGTGTGAGCACAGGGCATTCTCTTGCTCTGACCCACAGATTTCCATCCCCTGCTGCTCTCTGCTTTCCTCCTCCATGACCCCCGTCACCTCCATTCCATCCCCTCCGCAACCCCCTTCCTTTTCCCGCTCTTGTCCTCGCCTCTCCCCTACTCTCACGGCCATCTCACACCCCTCATCACCCCCACGCCCCTCCTCGCCCTCACATCCCCTGTGCCTGCGGATCCTCTCATCGCCCCCTGTCACCTGCACTGCAGTAAACGCCTTCCCCAGCTGAAACGCCCCCATACCCACTCCCCTCATGCTCCCACCCCCTCCACCAACGCCCCTCGTGCCACCGCCACCATATTTCTCAGCTACCCGGCCTACCCCTACCTGGGAAGTAAGGGGCATTGGCGGACTGTGTGGTTGAGAGGGCTGGAGAAGGGAGGGAGTGTGGGTAGCAGGGAGGAGAGAGGAGTGGGAGAGGCCCGGCGGGAGAGTGGCGAATGAAAAGCGTGAGGAGAGATGCGGAGGGGCGAGAGAGCGGTGGTGGTGGGGGTGAGTGAGGGAGGGAGGGCAAGAGGGAGTGAGTGGTGGGGAGGATGGTGATGGTGACAGTGTGTGTGGCTGCTGGGTGGTGCCTTGAGAGGTGTGTGAGGGAGGGAGGGGGGAGGTGGCAACAGTAGGGGTGGTGGGAAGGGTGGAAGGCGGCAGCAGTGGTGCCAAAGCAGCAGCAGGTGCAGGCACAGCAGTGGGTGAGGCTCGGAAGCGAAGGCGGCGATCAACGTGGCAGGCGAGGGTCCCGAGCTGGCTCATGTTACCACCACCACTTCCACCACTTCCACCACTTCCACCACTTCCAGCCGCAGCAGCAGCAGCAGCATCAGCAGCAGCAGCATCACCACCACCACCATAGTCACCCCCATCATCACGGCAGGCCTCGTACTGCCTCTTCCTGCTGCTGGGCCCCACTGCACTGCATGGCACGGGGTCACCCCCAACAGACGCCTCCACAGGTATGCCCCTAGCATGCCTACTGTCACTGCCACCACCCCCGCTCGTCGCATGGCTGATGCTGGCACTGGTGTGGCTGGCACTGGTGTGGGTGGCACTGGTGTGGGTGGCACTGGTGTGGGTGGCACTGGTGGGGGTGGCACTGGTGTGGGTGGCAGTGGTGGGGGTGGCAACAGGAAGCACGTCACAGTGTGGCAGGGGCGGAGGGAGAGCACATGCTGTGGAGGTGTGTGGCTCAGGCGCACACCACTCACCCTCCTCTTCCATTCCTCCCACCACTTCCACGTCATTCACCCCCTCATCCAATTCCTGCTTCACTCCTCTTCCCCCCTCTCTCGCCTCATTCGCCCTGCACTCCCCTGGTGCAACCCCTGCCCTCGCCCCACCATGTCCTGCCTGCTGCACTGCCTCCCTTTCATGGCGCCCACGACAACACCGCTCGCCCTCACCAGTCCCCACTCCCTGTGCCCCCTCTCGCCCGCCCGTCCACCCAGCCCCACCAGCAGGCAACCGCCCCCTTGCCTCCCTACGGCCACCCTCGCCTGCACTGGTTCTTGTCTGCTCCACGCCCAGCCCCACTCTCGTTCCCGCCTCTCCCATCGCCGCTTCTCCTCTTGCCACCACTCGCCCCTCCTCAACTCTCTCCTCCGCCCTGCCCCTTTCCGTCCCCTCCCTCTCCTCCTCCACCTCTTGATCATTGGCTCCCAGCCCTCCATTGTTTCGCTGCCCTTTCCCCCCATCACCAACCCCTCCTACCCCGCCCGCCTGCTCCCACTCCCCTGCTCCCTGCGCCATCTGTTCCCCATCCCCCCAATCCTCATTCTCCTCTCCCTCGCCTATTCCTTCCGCCCTCTCGTCTCCCTCGCTTACCCGCACCTCCCCTTCAATCGGCCTCCCCTCCTCCTCATCAACTTGCCCATCCCTCACCCCCCCGTCCTCTCCTTCCCCTCCCACGTCCTCCCCTTCGCCTCCACCCATGCACTCCACCCCTCGCCCGCGCGCCTCTCTCTCGCGCCACTCCCTCTCCACAGCCTGCAGCAGCGCCGCATCCCCCAGGGGCGAACCTTCCAGGATCTTGCGGATGCGCCCCACGCCCTCCTCCTCTCGCACGCGCTCCACCTCCTCCACCAGCGCCGCCACGCCTCTCGCCTGCACGGCCCCCACAAACCGCACTGCGCGCTCGTACGCGCTCTCCCCCTCGCCCTGCTGCTGCCCATCAGGCTGCCCCGGGGAAGGGTGGGAGGGGGAGGCGGAGTGTTGTGGGGGCCCAGGAGCGGGCGCGGAGAGGAGGCCGCGCAGGAGAGGGTACTTGCGGCGCATGGCGGAGTTCCAATAGTTCTTTATGGCGTTGTCCGTGCTGTGGGGGGGGAGAGCGTGAGGGGGAAGCGGGGGAAGAGAGGGTTCCATAGGTGTGAGTAAGGAGGAGTATATCAGAGGTTGTTGTGTGGGGGAAGGGAGGGGATGCATGTGGAGTTGTGGAGAGATGAGGAGAGAGAAGCGGAATAGACAGCGGGTGGCAGAGTAAACGGTGTTAGGGCAGGAGGCACGCACCGTCCGGGAAGGTTCTTGGCGATGAGGGCCCACTTGTTGCCGTGGATGGCATGTGCTGTGATGATGCGCGCATCCTCCTCCACTGTGAACTGGCCCCTCCTCAATGCCGGGTCCAGCTGGTTGCACCACCTGCCAAGGGGGGGACATGGGAGGGAGAAGGAGGGAGGGAGAAGGAGGGAGGGAGAAGGAGGGAGGGAGAAGGAGGAGGGAGAAGGAGGGAGGGAGGAGGGAGGGAGAAGGAAGGAGGGAGAAGGAAGGAGGGAGAAGGAGGGAGGGAGAAGGAGGGAGGGACATGTGCTGTGATGATGCGCGCATCCTCCTCCACCGTGAACTGGCCTCGCCTTAACGCCGGGTCCAGCTGGTTGCATCACCTGGTGTGGGGGACAGGGGAGGGAGGGATGGATAGATGGAGCAGGATGTGCATGCCACATGCAGCATGGGCTCAGAAACAAAGAGAAGAAGCGCACAAACACGGAAAAGTAAAGAGCAACCAGACTGTGACAAAGGTGAAACAAATCAACACAAGACCGCCTCCTTCTTTCCGCTCATCCCAGCGCGTCCCACCGCACCTCACTGCACTACACCGCACGCACCTGAGTCTACAGCTCTTCCCAGGCCGGCCAGGGATGCCAGCAGCGATGGCGCTCCAGTTCTTCGCCCCGTGCACCGCCACCAGCGCCGCCAGCCGCTCGTCCTCCTCCGCCGTCCACGCCCCCCTGTTCACCGCCGCTGCTCCCCCCCGCCCTCCGCCACTCCGCCTCCTCTGCTCCTTCTCCCCGTCCTCCTCCCCATCCTCGCCCCCCCTGCTCCCCCGATCCTGCTCCCCTATCAGCCCTCCGCTCGCCTCGCTACTGCTGCCGCCTCCCCTCTCCTCTGCCACCTTCCCCCTCCTCTCCGCCCCCTCCATCCGCCCCTCCATCGCCCCCTCGCCACCGCCGCTACCGTCACGGCTGTCCGCCTCCCCTTCCTTGCCGGCTCCCCCACGACCCCGCGCATTCTCTGCCCCCGTATCCACATCCGCCGCCCTTGCCCGCGCCTTGGTTCCCCTGGAAGCCGCGCCATGCGCCCCCAGATTGGCGGAGAGCAGCGGGCGCGCGCTGCTGGCGGGGGATGCTCCCCTGATTGCCTCCTCGCGCGGTTGCTCCGCTTGCCGCTCCCCCTCCTGCTTCTGTGCCCGGCTGGCGCCCGGTGCTCGTCCAATTCCCGCGGGCAGCACCAGCCGCAACGGGCCCCCTGGCTTGGCGGGCGTGGAGGCGGAGGGGCGCGCGGAGACGGCTGCGAGCCGAAGGAATCGGGGGACAGTGCGCATGGCGCTGGGCTCCGCCTCGAGGTTGGCGGCGGAATTGTCCGTATGTGATGCGGCGGGTCGCTGTGCAGGCAGCGCGGTGGCGCGGGTGAGCGGAGCCATGCGGGTGATGCGCGCAGGTTACAAATAGCGGCAGCTCACAAGCTCTCAAGGGTCTGAGCAGGTCTGAACGCTTCTAAAAACGTGCGGGCGATGCTGCACCTCGTAGTAGTGTGGGTGGATGCGCGTGACGGGTGGTTAGTTGCTGCTCTCAGGTGCGTGTGCTCGCATTCGGAGGTATCCTCCTACAGAGCTGCGGCGGTTAGCCATCTCCTGCTGGAACCAGCAGAGCCTCGAGTCGTTGCGCGCAACTTGAATTGAGCGCCTAGCGCCCGAGGAGTACAACTGCATCGTGCCTGCTACACCAAGCACCGCTACCGCTAACCCGATCATGTGCGGTGGAGCCACGTGAATGGAGCTGTTTCGCTTCACCTCTGGGTGAGGGGTTCGCGCAACAAGCCTGACCGCTCGGTTCCGCTGCTGGCTCTGCGCTCGCTCGCTCCCCCAAAAGCTTCTTGCATCCGCTCGTTGAACGCGCGGCCGATGTCGTTGGGGAAAGCGAGAAGACGAAACGTCCCGTTCTGGCTTCTTGTGACCATTCCAGGCGTAACAGATGGCGGTTAGAAGACGAAACGGCACTTCCTCGTTACTAGGTTCGCGGACCCAGAAAGCTGAAAGCAATCTGAGTGCACACTCCGTGTGTAATCGGTGTAAATTGCTAACAAGCGATTTCTCCTATGTGTCAAAAACTCTTGCGCAATAGGCAACGCGTTCGTGGAGTGTAGTTATTGAAGGTATATTCCCTTGGGTCTGGTGTAGCTGGTTTCCAAGGCAGACAGTTCTCAGGGCAAAGCAGTTCCCAGGGCAAACTTGTTCCCAAGGCAGCCCAGTTCCCGAGGCTATTTTGCTTCAAGTGACGGTGCTTCCGAGCCCAAAGCAGCACGGCATCATCCCCACGCAGCACATCTCGAGGCCAGGCCCGAGCGCGTGCGTCTGCCCACCGTCGCTGCCTGACGGACCACCACCACCATCCTCCATACCTCCTCGCTGCTTCACGCCATTCTCAAAGCAGCATTGCGAATTCGCTCGCCTTCGTTCGCGAGCAGCGGCGCGTAGTTGCCGGCGACATTGACCCTGACGGACCCACGCGAGACAGAAGTTCGCAGCGGCAGGCATGGCGGGAGGGGCGGAGGCGGCGAGCGATGTGACGGTCCACGTCACCACGCCGCTGTTGCCGCGCGAGGTACGGCGCAGCGCGAAGGGGCATGCGTCGTGATGAGCCAGAAATGTGCGCATTGCAGTTCATGATGAATCTGTCTTCTTGCGCGGCTCTGCTTCCGCATTCCTCCCAATATCCCCTACATTCCCTCCTCTTCACCTCGTTGCATCACCGTCGCCTCTCCTCAGGTTTCTGCTCCCGCAAGACACATGACGCTCAGCGATGGGAGCCCTTCAACGCCGCATTCCCCGGGTGCACGTCGCATCGCTGCAGCTGCAAGGATCGCCGCTGTCGTCGGGTGCGTCGCTCTGCTCGCCGCGCTCTGCCTCCTCGAGCCGCGCCGAGCTGGCCTTGCGACACGCGCTGATGGTGCCGCCGAAAGCAGCAGCAGCAGCAGCAGCAGCAGCAGCAGCAGCAGCGCGGCTGTTAGTTTCTTCGCATTCGGCGACTGGGGTCGCAACGGGACCTTCAACCAATCGCTCATCGCACAGCAGGTGCGACGCACACCCTTTCTCATCGTCCCTTGCGCTGTGATCACACCCCATCCACACACACCTCTCTTGCAATGCAATGCACAAATCTGTCCTTGTACGCCTGTGCGGTCCAGATGGGTGCAGTGGGGCAGCAAATGGCGCCGCAGTTCGTGGTGTCGGTGGGGGACAACTTCTACGACGAGGGGCTGACGGACGTGAACGACGACGAGTTCGCGCGCTCCTTCACCAACATCTACACGCACCGCACCCTGCAGGTCCCCTGGTATGCAGGTACGCCTCTTCCTTTCCCACCCTCGCTCTCTTTATCGCTCCCTTCCCCTCCGCTTCTCACGCTTTGTCGCACTTGCACGCTCAGACGCACACACAAGGGCCACACTGCTCACCGCCTGCCACATCACACCGCTCCTTTCTCCCAACCCCCTCCCCGCTTTCCCTGCCCCATCCCGCCACCAGTGCTGGGCAACCACGACTACTACGGCAACGTTCTCGCTCAGCTGCACCCAGCCCTCGCCAACAGGGACCCGCGCTGGGTGTGCCGCCGCAGCATGGCGCTCTCGCTTCCGCTCTGCCCCTCCGCCAGTGTTGACTGCGTTGACCTGGTTGACCTGTTCCTATACGACACCACGCCCCTCGTGCCCGCGTACCGCCACAAGAAGGGGCGGCGCGTGGACTGGCGCGGACTCAACTCCGCCAATTGGACGCTGCAGGAGGCCGCGCAGCTGCAGGTGATTTGGGGAAGCCACCTGCTGCTATGCTGCCCCCTTCCACATCGCTCACACCACCATAGCTTGCAACTGCCTCCCTTTCCCAAAGCTCTTGATACTAACGCAATCCCCCCCTACCCGTCCCTTTTAGACAGTTCTTCTGCCACATTCTGGTGCCCACAGCTCGCGGCCTCTGTCTCACCATCCTGTGCCTCTTCCCTCCCCCAACTCCCTTTCTTCCCCTTCGTCTTCCTCCTCCCCGAACGTGCTGCAGGAGCTGGAGGGGTGGCTGGGCAACTCGCGGGCGCGGTGGAAGGTGGTGGTGGGGCACCACCCGGTGTTCAGCTACGGGCACCACGGCGACCAGCAGGAGATGATCGACCGCGTCAAGCCGCTGCTCGAGGTGAGATGCATAGATGACCCACGTCTGTGTGCCTGTGCATACATTGACCCGCCCTCGCATGTCTATGTGCTGTTCTTTTACTCTCCTGTTTCCCATCTGCTCCCCCCCACCACTACACACCAGCGGTACGGAGTGGACGCATATCTGAACGGCCACGACCACGACATGCAGCATGTGAAGAGGGATGACAGGTACTGATACTAGTGCATGCATTTTTGCACGCTTCTCTGCCTTTCCACCATAGACTGACATATCTGCACCAAGAAAATACCTCATTGCGTTCTTTCCGCCTTGTCCTCACCTTCTCACCGTTCAACCCTCTCCCCTCGCATTCCACCTCATTTCTCTTCTTTTCCCCCTTCCCCTCCGCCCTCTTCTCCTGCCACTCCAGTCCAGTGCACTATTTCACGGTGGGAGGCGGTTCCAAGGCGTGGCGCAGCGACGCCCCCTCAGAAGCCCCCGGGCTGCGCTTCTACTTCCCAGGCCAGGGCTTCAGTGCCCTGCAAGTGGACAGAGACCGCCTCTCAGTCACCTTCTATGGCGTGGACGGCCAGCAAATGTACTCCACCACTCTGGAAAAATGAGGGCTCTCATCAGGTGTCCCAGGGCTGTGCGTCTACTTCCCAGGCCAGGGCTTCAGCGCACTCGAAGTGGACGGGGACAGACTCTCCGTCGCCTTCTATGGTGTGGACGGCCAGCGAATGTACTCCACTACTTTGAGGAAATGAGCGCACCGCCAGGGGTTTAGCGCACTGCATGTGGACGGGGACCAGACCACCTCTCAATCGCCTACTATGGCGTGGATGCCCAGCAGATGTTCTCTGTGTTCTCAACACTCTGCAACCCTCTGGTGTGGAGGTTCTTGGCAGTTGCAAGGCTGTTCAAACTCATTGTCATGTGTGCCAGCTAAGCTTATATGTTTATTTTGTCGGCCTAAGTTTTCTGCTCAGTGCAATCCGTCTGTGGCCTGTCACCTCGGAGCCCTGGACTCCCACCAGGGAAGGGAGTCAATACAAGCTCTTCACAACACATGTGATGTGCAGACCTACTCAATTTAATTGGAGAGAAACAACTAGGAATAGGGGTGGCGCGTTGGGAAAAGGATTTGGTAGCTGGGTGACAACAGCTTTCCACTGTTCACGACTTGAGTCGCTTGGCATCAGCATCCGGCACACTCGCATCGTCCTCTCCCGCCTGCATGCAATGAGGGCAGCACCGCACAGCACCGCATGTGCATCGGTCAAAAGGAGCATAAGAGCAGGTCACAGTGGCAATGGACGCTGCTAGAGCATTGGATGGTAACTGGAAGTGCGGGTTGGCAGGTGTTGACAGGGCAAGCCACCGCGGAATGCATGCAAGGCAGTCAACTCAAGGGAAGCGTACTGGCAGCACCGCATTCCAAACCCCGCACTCACCATGAGAGACCTGAGTGAGCACTCACCATGAGAGACCTGAGTGAGCACTCACCATGAGAGACCTGAGTGAGCACTCACCATGAGAGACCTGAGTGAGCACTCACCATGAGAGACCTGAGTGAGCACTCACCATGAGAGACCTGAGTGAGCAGTCACCATGAGAGACCTGAGTGAGCAGTCACCATGAGAGACCTGAGTGAGCACTCACCATGAGAGACCTGAGTGAGCACTCACCATGAGAGACCTGAGAGAGCACTCACCATGAGAGACCTGAGTGAGCAGTCACCATGAGAGACCTGAGTGAGCACTCACCATGAGAGACCTGAGTGAGCAGTCACCATAAGAGACCTGAGTGAGCACTCACCATGAGAGACCTGAGTGAGCACTCACCATGAGAGACCTGAGTGAGCACTCACCATGAGAGACCTGAGTGAGCACTCACCATGAGAGACCTGAGTGAGCACTCACCATGAGAGACCTGAGTGAGCACTCACCATGAGAGACCTGAGTGAGCACTCACCATGAGAGACCTGAGTGAGCACTCACCATGAGAGACCTGAGTGAGCAGTCACCATGAGAGACCTGAGTGAGCAGTCACCATGAGAGACCTGAGTGAGCACTCACCATGAGAGACCTGAGTGAGCACTCACCATGAGAGACCTGAGAGAGCACTCACCATGAGAGACCTGAGTGAGCAGTCACCATGAGAGACCCGAGTGAGCAGTCACCATGAGAGACCTGAGTGAGCACTCACCATGAGAGACCTGAGTGAGCACTCACCATGAGAGACCTGAGTGAGCAGTCACCATAAGAGACCTGAGTGAGCACTCACTATGAGAGACCTGAGTGAGCACTCACCATGAGAGACCTGAGTGAGCAATCACCATGAGAGACCTGAGTGAGCACTCACCATGAGAGACCTGAGTGAGCACTCACCATGAGAGACCTGAGTGAGCACTCACCATGAGAGACCTGAGTGAGCACTCACCATGAGAGACCTGAGTGAGCACTCACCATGCGAGACCTGAGTGAGCACTCACCATGAGAGACCTGAGTGAGCAGTCACCATGAGAGACCTGAGTGAGCAGTCACCATGAGAGACCTGAGTGAGCAGTCACCATGAGAGACCTGAGTGAGCAGTCACCATGAGAGACCTGAGTGAGCAGTCACCATGAGAGACCTGAGAGAGCACTCACACGGGTGTGGTTCAAGTTTCTCCTCTCTTCCCGCAACTCCTTCCACCCTACAGTCCATCCTCTTTCCCCCACTCCTCCCCACCCACCTTCTCCCGCGGCACGACAGCGTAGCGCTCGGCAGGAGACACCCACGTGGCAGTCTGCCCCCATCACGTGGTAGACTGTTAATCGACTCAAAAGTCAACCCCCACCCTCTTCCCTCTTCCCTCCATTCACCCTCGCACCTTCTCCCCTGGCACGACGGCATAGCGCTCGGCAGGAGACACCCACGTGGCCGCGGCATCCGGAACCTCCGCATGAGCTGCTGCTGCCACGTCCTTCTTGCCGCCCGGCCCGCTGATGTGGCGACACCTGTCACCGTCCGCGCTTATCGCCTCCACTCGCTTGGGCAGGTTCCTGGAAAGTGGGCCGGCGGGAGAGAGTGCAGACAGGCAAGAGCAGCAGGCCCTATGATGGCATCCCATGAGCCGCCCACCTAGCCTGTGATGGGCATGAGCGGCAGCGCCATGGCACTGAAATCTCAAGCATCTCACCACACTGCATGGGCTGACCTGTCCTGCACACACAGCAGCAGCCCCACCTGTCGGTGGTATCCCCGTGGCCCAGCTGCCCACTGGTGGCTCGACCCCAGGAGAACACGTTGCCGCCCTCACTCAACACCACCGTGTGCCGCCACCCACACGCCACCGCCACAACCCGCTGCCGCCACAGGGTTTGGAAACATAGGGAGAAAGGGAGGTGGGGAGGAGGGTGAGACGGGGCACAGGGTGAGGCAGTGAGGTGGAAGAGCAAAGGTGGGGAGAAGATGTGGATGTGGCGAGATGGGGACCAGTGCAGCAACCACAGGGCCACGCTTGCTGTGGCAGCCCACTCATCTTCCATGCTCGTCCCCTTTACCATCCCCCCCATCCCCCTCCGCACCTTTTCCCCCTACCCATCCCAGCACACACACAGCTGACCTCGGAAATGCTCTCTATCCGCTGCGGCGAGCACTGGTCCTCCGAGTTGCCCACTCCCACCTGCCCGAACTGATGGGTGGGAGATGCAAGAGGTGGGGCAGGGACGAGCAGGCAGTGTGGCAGGGAGACGGGAGTGCAGAGAGGACAAGAGAGGTGAAGAGGGGTCTGGTGAGAGTGGTATAAGAAGGGATGGGAGAAAGTATAAGGAAAGAGCACTGGTTATGTGGAAGGTCAGGGGACCAGACCAGCATCAAGCACTCTCTTCTCCCACCACGTTCTCCCTTTCACTCCCTTCTCCCGCTCACTCGCTCTCACTCCCTCACTGCCTCTCACTCCATTCTCCCGCTCACTCCCTCTCGCTCACTTTCACCCCCTCTGTGTTCCACTCCACCCACTCACTCTGTTCCACCCCCACGCGTACACCACGCCATCTGCATCCAGAGCAACGGAGTGCCGCCACCCTCCTGACACCTGCTCGCAGTCAAGGTAGGGAGGAGGGGGGACGGGGGAGCGGAGGGCAGTGAGACGGTCAGCAGGTGGCTGATGTGTCAAGTGCACAATTGAAACGGCTTTCGAATGGGGGGGAAAGGGAGGACGAGAGCGTCCTCCCTGCAGCAGCACAACTCACAAATCCTCTCACCTGCACGATGCACGGCTGTGCCCTCACCTGCACAATCCGCTTGTCCTGCATGGCTGGAACGGGCGAGGGCGTGAGGTGGTCCTGGAAGTCGCCATGCCCCAGCTGCCCGTACTTGCTCCACCCAAACGTCAACAGCCGCCCCTCCCCGTTCACTGCTATCGTGTGCCGCCACCCACACGCCACCTGTGCTATGCGCTCTGACTGCCAGCAGGGGAGACGCAGGGACGAGGGGCAGTGGAGAGGGGAGAGGCGATGCATGGGAGGGCAGAGGGGCGAGGATGAGGGAGGGGGGGAATGCAACCGACTCAAAACTCACCTGGATGGAGGTGACCCTACCCTGGTCGCACCCACGTATCCTCCAATCTTGTTGCCTGTCACCCTACATGCTACCACTCCGCTCCATCCCCCCATGCACCTCAATAGCAGTGACCTGCTCGGGCAGCTTCCTGGCCAGCCAGCCGGTCCCCCACCCAGTGGTTGCCGTAGCGCCCCCACCCCCACCCCTTCACACCCCGATGCCTGTGGCCCTAAATGCACCTATTGACCTCTCACCCATGCCCATGACCCTACACGCTACCTCACCATCCCCCCCACGCACCTCAATGGCGGTGACCTGCTCGGGCAGCTTCCTGTCAAGGCGGTCCCCCAGCCCCAGGTTGCCGTAGCGCCCCCACCCCCACCCGTACAGCCGTCCATCCTCCGCTGCCGCTGCTGTGTGCTCTGCGCCCGCTGCCACCATCCTCAGCGGCACCCCCTGCAGCACACAGGGGGGGAAGGTGTGGTGTGGGGGAGAGGGGAAGGAGGTGGGGGGGGTGGAGGATAGAAGGGAGAAGAGGGGAGGGGGGAAAAGGAGGGAGAGGTGATGTATGGGTTGGTGGAAATGGAGAGGGGAAGGGTAGCGGGGAAGGCAGGGGTAGCGCCCCCACCCCCACCCGTACAGCCGTCCATCCTCCGCTGCCGCTGCTGTGTGCTCTGCGCCCGCTGCCACCATCCTCAGCGGCACCCCCTGCACGGGGGGAAGGCTGAAGGGGGCAAAATGGGGGAGGCGGGGGAGAAGAAGGTTGGGGGGTTGAGAGAGGGAGAAGGTGGGGAGGGTGGGTATGGGGACGGAAGGAGAGGCGATGGATGGGTTGGTGGTAATGGAAGGGTGGATGGGTAGAGGGGAGGGCAGAGGTAGGGGATGGCAGGGGAAACGCAGGTTGGAAGTGGAGGGCAAGGGAACAATCTGAGTGGAGCGGTAAGAGGCAGGCGGCGTGCGTGATGATAAGGCAGGAGGCGTGATTGCATCATGAGTGCCGGGATGGGCGGACTTGGAATGGGAGGGCCTTACAGAGAGCGTGGTGATCTGTCTGTGTGGGCACGAGGGCGTCGCCCAGCATGCCCAGCCCCAACGAGGTGACCTGTGAGTCGACTCAAAGAGGGGCTTACCGCGAGGAGTGGGGGTGCTTACAGCGAGGAGTGGGGGTGCTTACAGCGAGGAGTGGGGGTGCTTACAGCGAGGAGTGGGGGTGCTTACCGCGAGGAGTGGGGGTGCTTACAGCGAGGAGTGGGGGTACTTACAGCGAGGAGTGGGGGTGCTTACAGCGAGGAGTGGGGGAGCTTACAGCGAGGAGTGGGGGTGCTTACAGCGAGGAGTGGGGGTGCTTACAGCGAGGAGTGGGGGTGCTTACAGCGAGGAGTGGGGGTGCTTACAGCGAGGAGTGGGGGTGCTTACAGCGAGGAGTGGGGGTGCTTACAGCGAGCGCGGTGATCTGCGTGGGCACGAGCGCGTCGTCCAGCGTGCCCAGCCCCAACTGCCCGTTCTGATTGCGCCCCCAACTGGTGCCATGCCAAGGGGTGGGGCACGGGTGGACGGCACGGAGGGGTGGACGGCACGGAGGGGTGGACGGCACGGAGGGGTGGACGGCACAGAGGGGTGGACGGCACGGAGGGGTGGACGGCACGGAGGGGTGGACGGCATGGAGGGGTGGACCTCACGGATGGGTGGGAGGAAGAGGAAGCAGAATGCAGCGATGAAGGGATGGCGCTACTGCGAGCATGACTGTGCCTGTTTGTGATAGACACGCCCGAGACAGCAGGGCCATGCTGGGCAGGGGCCATCTGAACTGAAGGCGTTGTGGCGTGGCAGTGCAAGAGGTGGCCTGCAAGGCATGCCACGTCCATGCGCGCACCACCACCACCTCACCGCCCCACCAATTGACCGTCTGCCCACCACCTGACCGCCCCATCACCTGTTGCCTGAAAAATCACCTGAAGGCGGTGCCATTGGCGTCAACCGCAATGCAGTGGCAGTCGCCACACGCAATGTGCTTGATGGGTCGCCCGCACAGCGACGCCACGGCGTGCGGCAGAAACACGTCGCTCGAATGCCCGTGCCCCAGCCGCCCAAAGTCGCCCCTGGGGGGGTGGCGGGGGGAGAAGACCGGAAGGGGGAATGGGGAGACGAGGGGGAGGGAGCATGGGGGGTAGGGAGGAAGGATGGGAGATGGGTGGGAAGAGGAATGGGGAGATGGGTCGCCCGCACAGCGACGCCACGGCATGCGGCAGAAACACGTCGCTCGCATGCCCATGCCCCAGCCGCCCGAAGTCGCCCCTGGGGGGTTGGCGGGGGACGCGGGGGGGGAAAATGCGTGGAAGGGGGCGCGGGGAGATGTGCGGAATGGGGCAGGGGGAGATGCGTGTTAAGTCAAAACCTCGCCTATTACCTCACTATCCTGCTTCTTCACCCGCCACCCAACGGTATACAAATCCCACCATCCCCTTTGATTAACACACCCCCCCCCTCACACACACCTATTAACTCATCCACCCCCACCGATTAACTCACCACCCCCAGGACCAGAGCGTCTGCGAGTCCTCCGAGTACGCCGTCGTGTGATCCGCGCCGCACGCCAGCGCCGACACGCGCTTCCCCGCCAGCGCCGCGACCTCCGTGGGCTCCAGCTGCTCCTCCGCGCTGCCCAACCCTAGCTGCCCGTCCTCCCCGCGCCCCCACGCGCACACGCGGTCGTCCGCTGCACGCGCGCACGATGAAGGGGGAACGCGCGCGATTATGGGCGCGAATGGCAGACGGCTTTGCAGTCGAGAATAAAAGTCGACACGGACAGATGGAATCTAGGGTTGCTGGGTTACAGCGATGCGGAAAGGCTCGGAACGCAACCGGAAAGCGGAAATGAGCGCTGCAGCATATAAACATGTAGAGGTGAAGATTTTCAAAACTAGTCTATCCAACATACCAACGCATCGGATAAAACGCACTACTCGTGTGAAAAAAATAACGACTACGGTATGCCAAGAAACACGCACAGAGAAGGGCGACGGTGTGACTGGCGCCTGCTGATATCGCCACGACACGACACTCGGAATCTTGAGACGCCATGTCTTGAACTGTGAGGGAGGCGCTAATCACGTTGAGTAGAATCTAGGGTAAATGGATAAAGCGGAGCTGTGGAATAGGCATTCAAAGAAGCATACCCCTCGTTCCTCCAGTCGACCGCGATAATGAGACGCGATATCTGAATTTGAGAGCACAGACGCTTTCTTTCCTGCTGTATTACTGATACATAATTGATATATCTTTCTTGTCAAGTATCAAATTGCCTCCATTTCATGAGGAACTGGTGGATAAAATTCAGGGAAGAACAAAAAATAAGGGTTTTTTTAAGGGTAACAATTTATTTATTCCTGTGGAAGGTGGATGTGGCCCCAGACACTCTCTTGATTTTGATCTTGAAGGTAGCTTGCTCAGCCTATGTATGCTCGCATTTTTTGTAGGTGAACAATTGTTCTGGTACCGGAACATGCAACGATCGAGTATATCCAGAATGACTGTTAGAGCGTAGACTGTTCTGATGCATCAGCGGTCAGCAGTTACTCAGTTGACCTGACCACCCTCTGGTCGTTCGTTCCCGCAGGTCCGTAAGATTTACGGGCAGATTCGCCGTGTGAAAAGCAAACCCAGGCAACACCTTCGCTGAACAGTCCTTGAACTGGAAGTTATTTCCGAGCGAGACTCGCAGCCTCGTACACGATTGACCAATGATAGCATAGAAGACCTTGTCATCACGTTCGGGAATTAGCGAGACTGCTGGATAATCTGTGTCAGAAAGCTGTTGAGGTTGAGGTGCAGCAAAAATGAACTGTACAGCACGCAGCAGGCTTGGCAAATCAGGAGATTTCACTGTAAGCTTTGCCAGCCCAGATCGACGCAGCCCAGATCAATTCCACAAACTACCACACCCAGTTATGTGCGTCGCCCGCAACGACCCCACTCGCCTCGTGGCATTGCGCCTACCTCAACCGCGACTCGCATCGCGATTTCTCGATCCTCGAAGTCCATCCATCCTGCCACCTCCATCTCCGCTTGCGACGAACTCAAACGAAATTGGCCTCGTCCGCACGCACATTTGCGGGCCCCGTTACTCCGTACACTTCACTCGCCCCCTCCCCCCATCCAGCTAGCCAAGCCACCCTTCTTCCCCCTCCCTCCCTCTTCCCCCCCCCCTCCCCCCTTCTCCACCCTCCCGTTGTGCACCAAATTTATCCCCTTTCATGGCGGCTGTCTAGAACTGACAACCCTGCTTGAACCGGCAGTCTAACCACCACAAGCGCAATAAGACGTCGTAGTAAAACCCCGAAATTTACACGCTGTGAGACACAGTAAGCTCACCCAAACACTTCCAATCGAACCTCTCTCGTGAAAACGCTGGAGCAGCAGTGAGGACATCAGAATTGCTGCGCGAGACTTCACGGCCACACGCACCAGTACCTCCATTCTAAGCCCGTCATTGTCGCAGTACTTCCCGGTGCTGCTTCGCGAATCAGTCCAGACCGTCACGTCGCGTATCACTACTTCCGCGCGTGGCTCGCTCCGCGCGTACCTCCCCGTTCCGCTCCCCCCTTTCCCCCACTCCCCCGCCATGGGCGCAGCGGGGTCGCGCGAGGTGTGGGTGGTAATGCCGGACGGCCGCGCGGAGAGCTTCCGCGAGCCAATCACCGTCGCGCAGCTGCTGGCGCAGCACCCGGGGTATCTCGTGTCGCAACCTGACCTGCCCGGGAACCCCGTCGAGAATCACGGTGCGAATCGCGGGCGGCGGTGGAATTTGCCAGCGGAAGAGGTGCTGCGGCTCGGGGAGATGTACGTGCTGCACTCCGCGGAGCTAGCGAGCGTCGAAGACGTGTTTGCTGACGTGGCGAATCGCGTGCAGACTAGGGTAAGAGAGGAAATGCTGGGAGCGAGCCTCGACGAACAATGTAGGCGAAATGAGCGAAAGGTCTTCGCCTTTGCGACTTTCCCCCACGCCGGCTTGCAGCGTTTGCGTCTTCATCGTGTTCCCCTGGCGAATTCACATCCGCCCTTCCCCTCCTTCCCCCCTCCCCGCCTCCGCGCATCTGTCTGTGCGCAGGGCCAGGCACCGCGGCAGCCGCGCAAGGCTCGCGGAGGCCATTCGCGCTCCAAGTCCGCCTCTCTCGTCGATGGCGGTACGCGCGGGGGAACCGAACACCCGGAGTGGCATGATGCCGTGATTACCGCCGCGACTCACGGCGCTGGCGCTGGCGGAAAGCACAAGGGCAACCGACCGCGGAGGACGCGCGCAGCGGCGGGAGAAGGGGCGCGCGCGGAGTCTCAGAGCCCGGAAAACGACACGCGACAGGACGGAGCTGTCTACGCCAACGCAATCGTTGCGGGTGTAGCCGCGGAAAGCGGCCTCGAGAGCTCCGCGGGCTGCGGCGCCAGAAGCCTTCCCCACAGCCCCTCGTCCTCCTCCTCCCCCCCGCTCTCCCCTTGCCTTTCCCCTCCCCGCGCCCGTCCCGGCCATCGTCACGCGCGCGGCCTTCCCCCCCGCGTTACGTCGCGTCTGGCGCAAGCGCACGGGCACGGCAGGCGCGCGTCCATAAGCGCGCTCCCCGTGGAGGGGGGAGGGGAGGGAAGTCGGGCGGAGATACGAACAGGCATTGGGGAGCAGCGAAGGGCGGGTTACCAGGTAACGAGCGGAATGTTGTTCGGAATCCCGGATGGTGATAGCAGCGACGGGTCAATGGTGCTGACGTCACCAAAGATTGACATCTCGGATGTGATTGGCTACGACGTGTTCCCTGTGTCGTCATCTGAGGGCGAAGGGGAAGGTAAGGGCGGCAGCCAAGCGTGGGACGAGGAAGGGGAGCGTGGGCGCGGAAAGCATGGGCGGGGGGGAAACGGAAGAAGAGAGCAGACGCGTGGGCGCGCTCAGGCGCAAGCACATGCGCGCGACTCCCGCGAGATTGCTGGTGCCGCCTGCAGGAGCGGCGGGTTCAGCGCGGATAAGGAACTCCCTCACTCTGCTCCCCTCCTGGCGGGCGGCACTGGCGCGGGTGGCACGGGGAGAGAGGCGGGGCAACGAGGGCGGGCGCGGGCAGGAGAGAGGGGGGTGGCGGGGCAGGTGAGGGGGCGGGGGGAGGTTTCAGCTGCGCTGCTGGCGCATCTTCACTGGGAGAACGTGGCGGAGAGTGGGGGGAGGAGGGCGGTGAGGGGAGGGAGGCCAGTGGGGCGCAGTGTATCCGCGGAGGAGGAGGGGGGACCGATCGTGAGAGCCAGAAGGGAGGGTTGGAGTGTGGGAGAGGTGTGGGAAGAGAGAAGGGAGGAGGAGGAGGAGGAGGAGGAGGAGGAGGAGGAGGAGGAGGAGGAGGAGGAGGAGGAGGAGGAGGAGGAGGAGGAGGAGGAGGAGGAGGGGGGGGGGGAGGAGGGACGAGGAGGAGGAAGAGGAGGAGGGAGGGATGAAAGAAGAAGAGGGGGGGGAGCAGCTACAGGCGGAAAGGGATGGGCGGTTGGGGGTGGCGAACGGAGAGGGGGAAGGCGGAGGGGCAGGTGAGGGGGGGAGAGCAGGGAAGGGGCAGGCGAGGGGGAGTGTGGAAGGCAGGCGCAAGGGTAGGCGGGGGAAAGCAGAGGCGCAGGCGAGAGGAGAGGCTGGGGGAAAGGGAGATGGAGGTGCGGGCATGGCTGCTGGTGACATGCAGCACGGTAGTAGGGCGGGCGGGGGCAAGGGAGGAAAGGGGAGAAGAGAGGGGAGTGGGGGACGAGGGGGGAGGGGCGAAGCAGGTGGAGAAGATAAGGCAGGAGAGAGTGTGGGCGAGTATGTGCGATCAGCGTCGATGCGATCGGAGGTGTTGCTGCGCTCACCCGACATGCTGGCAGACATGTCCCAGCTGCGCGCGGATAGGGGACCCGGGCGCGCAGCAGTAGCAGGAGGGCCGCTGGGAACAGCAGGAAAAAGGGCAGGAGGCGCAGCAGGGGGAGCAGCAGCAGGGGGAGCAGCAGCAGGGGGAGGAGGTCCGGGAGGGGCTGGGGAGAAGAGCAAGGGGGCGCCGCGGCGGCGCAAGAACTCATTTGTGGATGAGGAGTTTGGGACGATTCTAGAGGAGTTCATGCCGGTGGTGAGCGGTGGGGGGCGTGTGGGAGGGGGTGCATGCCACAGCAAGGCACTGGTGACTGCCCTGGCTGCTGCTGCTGCTACCCCTACACTGCTGCACACACCTAGCGGGAGACTGCTGCCTTCCCCCAGTGGCAGGCTGCTGCACACCCCTAGTGGCCGCCTCGTGCCCAACCCTGCTGCTCCCAGCGACACTGGCAACAGCAGATGAGTGTACAACACAAGACAAGGCGCGATCTGTTATTGAATGGCCAGAGCAAGGCGCTGGTGAATGCCATGTCTGCTGTGCCCGCACTGCTGCACTGCACACTCGCCTGCGGTAGACTGGCTAACACGCCCTCCCAGTGGGAGAATGATGCCTGCCTCGGCTGCTCCTGGCGCCACTGGCAGCGGCACACTGCAGTGAAGGCATGCCTGGGAGGTGGCGAGTGAGAAGGTGGCGAGGTACTGGTTTTTAACTTGAGTTGTCCAGTTACGGTACCATAGCAACCAGGCCCTACGAAGTCAGACTTTTTTCTCTGATTTTCACAAAACTCTGATATTTCATATTTTTTTTCCAGTGTACTCTGTTAAAATCAGACTTTTTTGGGCCCAAACTCTGTAATTTTCAGACTTCTTTTAAGGCTAACTCTGAGAGTTCAGAGTTTTCTGAGAGTGTACTCTGATCATACAGGGTACAAACGCGTCCTTGACTGGTGATTCAGACGTACGGGTCACAACAGATCCACAATGTCAACGCAAAATCGCCTTGACACAGCAAATCCGAGCCTTACAGCACAAGATTTTTGCCCAATCATAGCAAAATCGCCCTGACACAACAGATTTGCGCTGTCAGAGCACAACAATTTTCGACCAATCACAGAAAACTCGCTCTGACATTGCAGATTCGCTCTTTCGCACCACAAGATTCACCCTGACACATATATTCGCCCTGTCAGAGCATGTTTTATCGGAAATCCCCTTAGTGTTGTGTGTTTCGGTAGCAGATGAATGAAACATTGATTGCATTCCGATGAAACATTGAATACATTGTTTTTGAATGATCAGACTTGTTTTTTAGGACACTCTGAAATTTCAGCCTTTTTTTATACCAACTCTGAGATTTTCATACTAAAATTGTGTACTAGTCTGACGAATCAGACAGGCCAAAAACGAATCTGAGGGCCTGATAGCAACATTCTTTTACCATGTTGTGCCTTGTTAATCTACTAATGTCCACAACGGGTACAGGCAGTCACATGATATGCCAAGTGGCATGATACTGTAGCAGACAGGCACTTGCATTTGTATGCCGTTTTTTGCTAACTTATACCGGTATGTCCAGTAACATTTTGTGCCGCACTTGTTAGCCAGGACCATAAGGTGCACTAAAATAGGGGCCTGCATTCACTCCAGGCTTGGCATGGCATGTCCGAGACCTGCACTTGGTTTGTTGGGCTGATTGTATGGAAGGAATCAAGCAATAAACACCGGTAACATCACAAGAGTCAGTTTGCACGCATGCATTAGAGGTAAACTTGACAGCACCCATGTTTGCTTTACACATCCTCTGCACCTAGCACCTACACTCATAAGGTCCTGACCCATCCTACGGTAAAAATAAAAAAAGCCTATGATCAAAGCAAGCGCTGCACTTGCCTTCTGGTTAGCATCATCCGCTGGAGACCTAAAGAGGGAGAGAGAGAGAGAGAGAGAGAGAGAGAGAGAGAGAGAGAGAGAGAGAGAGAGAGAGAGAGAGAGAGAGAGAGAGAGAGAGAGAGAGAGAGAGAGAGAGAGAGAGAGAGTCTCCTCTCCTTCGCAGACCATCCCCCCTCCCCTTCCGCCTCACACGGCCGTTTTGAACACGATGCATCGCCTCGACTCCGGGAACTCCTTGTTCCCATCTGCAGGATTCAGATTAATCACATTCGTCTCATTATAAGCCAGCTGCAGCGACTGCAGCTTCACGCGCACGCATGCCCCGTCATAGAACCCCAACATGCTCTCCCCATCCGTGGCCCGCCGGTGCAGCCGCCCGATCTGCCCCGTCACGTAAAACATCTCCCTGTAGCTCGCCGGCGCCGACGTGTAATCCACACAGGACAAAATCTGCAGCCGGTTGTGGTCCACCGAATCCACCTCAACAAACTTCCCGGGCGGCAGCTTGTTTGTCTTTAGCGCAGGGCTGATGGCGGAGTCGGGAACAGTGCCGTTGAGGTGGAAGAGGGGCACGGCGGTCTGATGCTGCTCGAAGTAGAAGTCGCAGAGAGACAGGGGGTTGGCCGGACACATCATCTTGCACGGCCCTGTCGGCTTGGGGAACTCCGCGGGGGGAATGGGCGCGGGGGGAGCCTCGGGGGAATCCTCGGGGGGAGACTCGGGGGGAGATTCGGGGGGAGTGTCGTCGGGGATGTTGGGGGTGGACTGGGGGGTGACTGGCCCGGAGGGGGAGTCGGGGGAAGGTGTGGGCGGGGGCGGGGTGGACGTGCGGGGCGGGGGTGACTGGGTCTTGGTGGTTGCCAGGGGGGGAATGAGTACCTGCGCGTGCGGGGGCGTGGGCGGGAGGTCGGTGGAAGGCACGCCAGGGGAAGAACCGGGAGCACGCGGGGAAGGGGAGGGCTTGGGCGGGGAAGGCGGATGCAAGGTCTGAATCTTCGTCAAGGGGGGACGGTCGGGGATCCCGGGGGAGGAGGGGGAGTCGGGGGAAGGGGGGGACGAGGGGGAGAGGGAGGGCGGGCTGTCGGCACTCGTCTTGGTAGAGGGCGGGGAGGAGGGCGGAGAGTCTTCCCCTGGCGGGCTGTCGGGGGAAGAAGGCGGAGAACCCGGCGCGCGGGGCGCACCCGGCGCGGAAGGCGGGGATGGCGCCGACGGGCGCACAACGAGATCCCCGGGCGGGGAGCCGACGGCTTGCGCGAAGACGGGCTGGCGGCCGCACGACACGGACTGCGGCGCGACGGGGCCGGTTTTAAAGACGACGCAGCGGCGCGCGTCGGGGTAGTCCTTTTGCAGCGCGTCGCCCGGCGCCGTGTTGACCACCGAGCCGTTGGGCGCCGGAATCTGCGCGTTCACGATCCACAGCTTCACGCACCGCGACTCGAACTTGTCGCGCGGCGAGGACAGCTGCGGGAGGTTGGGGAAAGGAAGACGGGGACGTAGGGGGGTGAGCAACGATAGCAACACTGAGGTCTGGTGCTTGCTCGTTAACGTTTTCGCCTTCTCGGCACGCTGAGAGCACCCGCATGACTCACCGCTCCGAAACGAGCCTACATTTCGTAAGAATGCCGTAAGAACTCTCGGAAATTGCCTGTAACGAGGGAGCAAACGGATTACGTGGGCTTACCGTTTGGAAGGTGCGGACGTGCAGCGTGGATTGCTGCTTGGTGAGGTAGAACTGGTTGTCATCGCCGCGCACGCCGTCCATGGCGCACAAAAACTGCGCCGCGCCGCTGCGATCCACCTCAATTATCTGCTGAATGCGGCTTGACACGAGCGGCGGGCTTATAGCGGTATCGGGTGTGACGTTATCGAGGCGGAACACGGGGACGTCCTCGGGGTGCCCCTCGAAGTAGAAGTCGCACTGGTCCAGCGGCGCCGCGGGGCAGCTCTCCTCCTCGTACGCGCTACTGTCGACCTCTGTTTTGGTGTCACCCATTGCAGTCTTGACGTACTTACTGCCCGATGAGGCGCCACCGCTGCCAGCGGCGTCAGGGTAATCGGCGTCAGCCGCGCCGGCATCAGCATCAAGATCAGCACTGGTATCAGTATCGGCAGCGTCGGCAGCATCGGCATCAGCGTCGGCAGCACCGGTATCAGCGTCGGCATCAGCGTCGGCGTCAGCATCGGCATCAGCGTCGGCATCAGCATCGATATCATCATCGGCAACAGCATCAGCATCACCGCTGGTCATCGATTTCACGCCCGCCAGTTTCAACGCCCCGCTCTCATCGGCGCCATTCGCGGCCTTCGCATCTGTAGCCTTGATACCATCGTCCGCAGCTGTAGCCTTGGCCTCGCCCTTCGTCTCACAATTCGCGTCGGTAGCGTTCCCGTCGGCCTTAGCCTTCGCATCTGTCGCCTTTGCGTCGGTAGCCTTAGCGTCGCCCTTCGCAACTGTCGCCTTTGCGTCGGTAGCCTTCGCGTCGCCCTTCGCAATTGTCGCCTTCGCATCGGTCTCCTTCGCATCGGTCGCCTCGATGTCGCCCGCTTCATCCGCAGCCGCCACGACGCCCTTGGGACTGAGATCCGCTTCGGAGCTCGGAATCTTGACGGATGCTGTTATAGCGGGTACACCTATCTCCTTGCCGGTGACTCTCACGTCGTCAGTAACGAGGATGTCGTTCTCAATATCGCGGACGTCCTGGCCCTCAATCCCAGCGGCTTTAATCACCGTGTTGGGGGTCTCCACGCTCCGCGCCCCGGCATTCTTCTCGCCCGCAGTTTCCGCGGCGCCGTCAGCCTTCTTCTCCGCCGTCTTCGCGACTGGCGGAACCGCTTGCGCCGGGGCCTGCGCTTGGTTGTGCGCCTCCATGCTCTGCAGCTGCGCGAGGTGCGCCATGTGCGCCAGATGCGCCATGTGCGCCACGTGGTGAAAGTGGAAGTACTTATCTCCGTCTTCCTCCGTCAGACTTGACGGATCCGTCTCCGTCAGCATCTGGACATTCTCCTCCGTTAACACCTCCGCTCCTTCCTCGCGCAGCGTCTTCAGGTTCTCGGCCGTCAGCTTCCATCCCTCCGCCTCCAGCTTCGCCTCGTCCGCCGCGCTCAGCCGTGCGGTCGCCTTCTCCGCAGGCGAGGGGGCGGTCTTGGGGGACGACGCGGGGGCGGTCTTGGGGGAAAGCGCGGCGGTGGTTGGGGAGGGCGCGTGCTTTGGCGCGAGTGACGGCTTGGGGGGAAGAGCAGGCTCAGGTGAGCCAGCTGATTTGCCGGAGGCAGAGGGCTTAGGAGCGAGCGCAGGTTTGGGAGCGAGAGCAGGTTTGGGAGCGAGAGCAGGTTTTGGAGCGAGAGCAGGCTCGGGAGCGAGCGCAGGCTTGGGAGCGAGCGCAGGCTTGGGAGCGAGAGCCGGTTTGGGAGCGAGAGCAGGTTTGGGAGCGAGAGCAGGTTTGGGAGCGAGAGCAGGTTTGGGAGCGAGAGCAGGTTTGGGAGCATTAGCCGACTTGGGAGAAGGGGCTGGTCTGGAAGAATAAGCCGATTCATGGGTGGAAGGCGGCTCGGACGAGGGAGCCTTTGCGGACGCGTGGGATAGGAGCAGCAGTAGACACGCGCAGGCCGCGACGACCTGATAACACGTCTCCCCCATGGCGCCTACCTGCTCGGCGCTACGAGGTATCGATCGGTGCGGATGGGTTTGTGAAGCACGCGGTAGCTCTCAGTGCTTGCGGGCAGAGCTCGAGGACCCGCCACTAGGAAGAAGCGCTACTGTATCTCTAGGACGATATCGATGACGTAGCCTCGCAAAGAAACTGAATTTTAGAATATCGTGCTTGGTGACAATGGGGTGAGTCCTGTCTGCTTCACATGGATTGGGTTTGTCTGAGAGGGTGAGGACGCGACGAGAGATGGAAAGGATACTCGGCGAAGAGGTCCCAGCAGGAATTCAAGGACAGAATACTCGGCGACGCGCCGAAATTGAATGAGATCGCAGAGCGAACGCAAAGGGCTTGTGCGGAGCGAGTTACGCCCGCCTGACTCGCCACCTGGTCCATTTGCCCGCCACTGTCTGGTAGCCATGGCGGAGCGACCACCGTTGTTGACTGGGCGCACCTGCAACTGGCAATTGGTTAATACTGGTGTCATCTGGGCGCGCCAGGCAGTCGATGTGAAGGGGTGGGCAGAGGATGGGCTGCCGAGGCGCTGGAAATCAAATTCAAATTACCCGCCACTTTCACAGCGAGCCGCTGAGCGCTTTTGCATGCGATTGGACAGGCCCAATCCCTTCGAAGAGTGTCAGGGGCGTGGGAAGAGATTTCAGTGATACTCGTTGTAAGTTATGTGTACGGTTATTTGTCTTGATTCAAGTTGAGATTACGTCTAGTACTACCATACAAGGATTATTATCAATGGTGATATGTCACACTGTTTCTCAATAATTAGCTTTCAGAGATCACTCGACGGAAAAACAAACATTAATCATTGATGATGTCGAGAATTTTCCATTTTGTAATGACACCAGAGTAAGTAGTGATGGGATACAACATGTTGTGTAGGGGAAAGATTAGAAAAGCTGCATAGTAGCATGCCAATATCCTGCTACAACCCGCAAACAGAGAGGCACCTTACTGAACCAGAAAAGCAGTAAAACTGAACCTGGAACCTTGTTCATGCGACACGGAACAGTTTATTGTCTGTATCACTGCTCTGCTCAGGCTTTCAGTATCACTTTTCCTGCGCACTTTTCCGACGACCATGGTGTTCTTGACATGTTGAAGCGCCTTCAGCTTATTCCATGCAGCCTTAATTCCTTTAGCAGAAGCAATGAGGTCTAACGGGCCTCATGACGGGGCTTTAACTCCGCGATTGAAGTCGTCTCCTCGCGGCTCGTCGCGACCGCGAGATACGGTGACCGGTGCCTCTGTCGTCAGCAGCAGGACTTCCACTAACAGCAGCGCAGTCGTTATTGACGAAAGAGGCGGCTCGAGTGATAGTAGCTTGATAAATATCGGGGACAGCGGCGACAGCTCCGTTAGCGTCAGCGTCAGGCCGTCAGCAGGTTTAGCCGGTGTGACACGTCATGCCGGCGAAGCATTGGTGGAATTGCAGGTGCGGGAAGGAGGAGATGACGTCAAACCTGAAATTGACGGCGTCAGTTGCAGTGCCGACGACGATAGTTTGTGCGAGCGAGGGGGAGGAGAGGGGGAAGTGGGGGGTGAGGAGGACGTGCGGCCTTTGATTGAATTACCCGAGAGACACGGGTTAGGGTTTGGTGAGAGACACGTGGTGGGATTGAGTGAGAGGCATGGCAGTAGCGCGTACAGCAGCGCCAGAGAGACGGACTCAGAGATAGACGAGGCGAGCGATGGGGGACGGGGAAGGGCGGGGGAGCGGCGGGCAGGGAGGGTGCGGGAGAGACGGGTGGAGCGGAGCAGGTCGGGGGAGGAAATGGGGGCGAGAAACTGGCTGGCTGCCGCCGTTGGTGCTGCTAGTGGCGCTACTGCTGCTGGTTCAGTCACTGGTGGGGCTATGACTGGTGCGGGTGGCGGCGGCAGCGTGAAGGCGAGCGCGGGGTGGGGAGGGGTGCGCGTGCGCGTGTGGTGCGATCCTCGTAGCCTGTGGCCCGTTGCACGCGTGTTGGCGCTGCTGCTGCTCTGGTACACCTTCAGCACCGCACTCAGCCTGTAAGCACCGCTCTCAGCCTGTAAGGCCCTCTGACTTCATTCTTCTTCCCCTCTTCGTAGTCGCTGCAAAACCCCGTGGCACACGTGCTGGCGCTGCTGCTGCTTTGGTACACCTTCAGCACCGCGCTCAGCCTGTAAGCCTCTGCCATACCAGACCTCATTCCATTCTTTCTTCACTGCTTCTCCTCCTCTTCATCTGTGAGTCGACCCGAAGGTCACCTCTCCTCCCTCCTTCCTCCCCCGCCCACCCCAATCAGGTACAACAAGATGCTCATAGGGCAGCAGCACTGCTGAGTTGACTCTAAAAGGTCACCTCTGCCCTCTTTCCCTTCCCCCCACGCCCACCCCGCCCACCCCAATCAGGAACAACAAAATGCTCATAGGGCAGCAGCACGTTTGCCCTGACATCACCTCGCCCCCTTTATCCCCCCCACACCCGCCCACCCCAAAACACGCGCAGGTACAACAAGATGCTGATAGGGCAGCAGCACGGCCGCTTCCCCGCGCCACTGCTGCTGACGGCGTTCCACTTCGCCCAGCAGGCGCTCATGGCCTCCGCGCTGCTCCACTCCGCCTTCCCCTCCGCCCTGCCGCCCCTCCCCCTCTCCTCCCGCGACTACTGCCTCCGAGGTACGCCCCTGCCCTCATCCTACTTCCCCCACCCCGGGCCCCCTGCTCTCACGCCCTCCTTTGTACTGTTGGGCCGTCTGCTTGTTGTGTCTGTGTACTGGACGTGGTTTTTGCCTGAGGGGAAGACCTGTGCAAACCATCTCATGCATGCATTGCCCGCTGTTCTCGTCTCACCTCCACTTCCCATCCGCTCCACCCATGCTCTGTGTGTGTGCATGATGCATCTGCATCGCGAGCCGTGCCATACCATATGTGACATTGGGTTGGCTGGCATAGCAATGCATGGCATGGCATGGCATGGCATGGCATGGCATGGCATGGCATCTGGTGCATTTCTATGCGTGATGCTACATGGCATGCTGTTTTGTGTCCATGCATGTCCCTACACAAATCTACATGTCCTTGCATGATGCCATTCGTGACATGCATTGGAGTGCCAACCAACAGTCATTCCCACAGCGGTGGCAACAGCAGTGGACATCGCTCTCTCCAATCAGTCCCTCGCTTATATCACACTCACCTTCTACACCATGGTACGGTATGGTATGATTGACTCATCATCGTTCATCACTACTCATCATTACTCATCATTACTCATCATCAGTACTCATTATCACTCATTGCTACTCACTATCGCTCTTCGTTAATTATCAGTCATGCATGCACCACACTTTCTGCCCTTACCACTCCCTCCCCGTTTTCCCCACCAACCGCCACAGACACACGCACCCGCTTGCATTCCCATCCCCTTGCGTTGCTCCCACTCACTCCCCTCCCCATTCCCCTGTGCACGCTCCTGTTTGTCCCCACCACACCACACCACACCACACCACACGGCAGTGCAAGTCCAGTGCGCCCATGTTCCTGCTGCTCTTTGCCTTCATCTTCAGGTGCGCTCTCATCTCATCTCATCTCATCTCATCTCATCTCATCTCATCTCATCTCATCTCATCTCATCTCATCCCAGTCAAATTAATACCACTCAAACTGTGTTTCAATTCAATGTCTTCCCTGTCTCCCCCCGCCCACGTCTCTGCACCGCAACTCCAGAGCCTGCTTGTCCCTCCCTGCTTGTCCCTCCCTGCTTGTCCCTCCCTGCTTGTCCCTCCCTGCTTGTCCCTCCCTGCTTGTCCCTCCCTGCTTGTCCCTCCCTGCTTGTCCCTCCCTGCTTGTCCCTCCCTGCTTGTCCCTCCCTGCTTGTCCCTCCCTGCTTGTCCCTCCCTGCTTGTCCCTCCCTGCTTGTCCCTCCCTGCTTGTCCCTCCCTGCTTGTCCCTCCCTGCTTGTCCCTCCCTGCTTGTCCCTCCCTGCTTGTCCCTCCCTGCTTGTCCCTCCCTGCTGCGCGTAGCCTTATCTTCCGAGGCGTTTCGTTTCGATGCGTTTTACAGTTTTCTCAAGGAAGTCCAGAGCTGTCAAATGGCATCTCTCTACTGCAAAGGCCGCGCCCGTGTGTTCCTGCTGCTCTGCCTCTGCTTCCGATCCACTCACAATGTCCTCCACGTGTCGCCTTGCTGCACTGCACTGCCCATGCCATGCCCCCATGCCACCCTATGTCACGCCCACGCCACGGGCGGCAGGCTGGAGCCTATCAGCTTTCGTCTCATCGGCGTCATGATGGTCATCTCTGTGGGCGTGCTCTTCACAGGTCAGCCAATCAGTCTGTCGCTGTCACTACTCCGATACTCATCTCGTTATAAACACCCTCCTTCCCTTTCATTTTCGCATGCCACTAGCCCCTCCGTATCCATCTCACCCGACATCTCCTCTTCCTCCTGCAAAGCACTCATCATCACTCACTATCCTCCTGTATTTCTATACATGTGCATGTGTGCATGTGTGCATGTGTGCATGTGTGCATGTGTGCATGTGTGCATGTGTGCATGTGTGCATGTGTGCATGTGTGCATGTGTGCATGTGTGCATGTGTGCATGTGTGCATGTGTGCATGTGTGCATGTGTGCATGTGTGCATGTGTGCATGTGTGCATGTGTGCATGTGTGCATGTGTGCATGTGTGCATGTGTGCATGTGTGCATGTGTGCATGTGTGCATGTGTGCATGTGTGCATGTGTGCATGTGTGCATGTGTGCATGTGTGCATGTGTGCATGTGTGCATGTGTGCATGTGTGCATGCCTGTGGGCCTCTGCCAGTGGCGGGCGAGGCATCGTTCCACCTGTGGGGATTCGTACTCGTCATGCTCTCCGCCATGGCATCTGGCCTGCGATGGGTGCTCATTCAAGTGCTGCTGCAGGTGAGGTGCTGATGCATGGTTGCCGCACGTGCCTTTGCATGGGTGTACTGTGGTACAATATGGTACCAAGTCATTAATTGCCATGGGATTGAACCATAGTTTGTCGTGTCCCATCCCATGGCATGCTAAAGAAGCATCCATAAGCCACTATGCATATTCCTTAAATCTTTTACGCTGACTCCGTTTTCATAGTGCCTCTTCTGCCCTCCCCATTGCCCTCCCCATTGCCCTTCCCATTGCCCTCCCCATCACCCACGCCATGGCTTGTGCCAAGCCCACCCTCTCGTCTCCCAGAAAGATCGCCTTGGTATGCTCTCTATCCCCAAACCCCGCCCGCCCTTTATCTCCGCTACGCTTCCTTTCCCTATTTTTCTACTGCACTTCCCTCGTATTTCCCTGCTTCCGTTTCTCCTGTTCATGGCCCCGTGTGTTGTGTGCTGCACGGTCCTCCTACTCGCCTCTTGTACTCCCATCATGCCCTGCATCTCACCCTCCCCACTCCCTCGCCCTCTTTTGCAGGTCTGAGCAGCCCGCTGGTATCTCTGGCTTACATCACGCCCCCCATGGCCGTCACCTGCGGTCTCTTCTCCCTCGCCCTCGAGCCACTCGCCTCGCTGCCCTCCTCGTCTTACTTCTCCCCGCCCTCGCACCTTGCACCCACCATGCTGCTTCTGCTGCTGGGAGGGGTGCTCGCGTTTCTCATGGTAAATCTTAGGCAATTCGCTGCCGCTGCTCGTTTGCGGCCATTGTGCTCGCTCATTCCTGCTGCTGCTGCTCTTCATGCTCTTCAGGTTCCCCATCAGGTTCCCCATCAGGTTCCCCATCAGGTTCCCCATCAGGTTCCCCATCAGGTTCCCCATCGGGTTCCCCATCAGGTTCCCCATCAGGTTCCGCATCAGGTTCCCCATCAGGTTCCGCATCAGGTTCCCCATCAGGTTCCGCATCAGGTTCCCCATCAGGTTCCCCATCAGGTTCCCCATCAGGTTCCCCATCAGGTTCCCCATCAGGTTCCGCATCAGGTTCCGCATCAGGTTCCGCATCAGGTTCCGCATCAGGTTCCGCATCAGGTTCCCCATCAGGTTCCCCATCAGGTTCCCCATCAGGTTCCCCATCAGGTTCCCCATCAGGTTCCCCATCAGGTTCCCCATCAGGTCCCCCATCAGGTTCCCCATCAGGTTCCCCATCAGGTTCCCCATCAGGTCCCCCATCAGGTTCCGCATCAGGTTCCCCATCAGGTTCCTCATCAGGTTCCCCATCAGGTTCCCCATCAGGTTCCCCATCAGGTTCCCCATCAGGTTCCCCATCAGGTTCCCCATCAGGTTCCGCATCAGGTTCCGCATCAGGTTCCGCATCAGGTTCCGCATCAGGTTCCCCATCAGGTTCCCCATCAGGTTTCCCATCACCTTTCAACCCACTGCCCCCCCTGTTTTTCAGATCTGTCAAATTATGTTCCCCATCAGGTTCCCCCTGTTCCCCATCAGGTTCCCCCTGTTCCCCATCAGGTTCCCCATCAGATTTCCATTACCATTACCATTACCATTACCACTACAAGTATTATTACCAGTATCATTACCATTACCACTATCATTACCATTACCATTACCATTACCATCACCACTACCACTTTTATCACTATTACCATTACCACTACCACTATCATTACCATTACCATTACCACTACCATTACCGTTACCATTACCACTACCACTATCATTACCATTACCATTACCATTACCATTACCATTACCATCACCATTACCATAACCATTACCATTACCATTATGATTACCATTACCACTACCACTATCATTACTATTACCATTACCATCACCATTACCATTACCATTACCACTACCACTATCATTACCAATACCATTACCACTACCATTATTTCTCATCATCCTGCACACCGACGCAGTCACCTTCTCTCAGTCAACTTTATATTCCTCCCCTTTCGCCCCCCTTACCTTCCCTTCCTCTCCCCTCCACCACCCCATCAGATCATGTCGGAGTTTCTGCTCATCCTGCACACCAGCGCCGTCACCTTCTCTGTGGCTGGCACTGTCAAGGAAGGCGCCACCATCCTGGTAGGTGCCGCGTTGCTTCTCTGCATTGCTAACATCCCTCCTCCACCAAGCCTTGCCATGCACCACCTGCTCTATGCTTCACCTCCCTGAATTTGAGAACGCCCCATGACACACCCCCCCCCCTGTGTCCCACCTTGTGTTTGTGCATCAGTTGTCTCACCAGGCGCCTGCGCTCCTACATGCCTACTTTCAACTGCGCCCCTCCCCACTCCACCACCAGGTGTCCCATCTGGTGTTCTCTGATCGCTTCACGCGTGTCAACCTGGTGAGCGTGCTCATCATCATGGTCGGCGTCTCACTCTCCCGTCCAACCACTTGCAACCCTCCACGCTCCCCTCCCTCTCCCTCCTACGCCCAGGTGTCCCATTTGGTGTTCTCCGATCGCTTCACGCGTGTGAACCTGGTGGGCGTGCTCATCATCATGGTCGGCGTCTCACTCTTCAACCTGCACAGGTAACAGCCTGCACTAGTAACCACCCACATGTACCCACCTGCAGGCACAATAGCTGTTGCTGCAGGCACAATAGCTGTTGCTGCAGGCACCTCAAGCGACTTCCCCTTGTGCTTTCTTACCAGCCCGCATCGCTGTCTTACCGATCTGCAACCCAACGCTGCTCCTTTCTCCCCGCATCCTGCTCTATACACCCTTCTCCCTACTTCCCCTCCCCCACCACCCCCCCCATCCTCCCCCCTTTTCCCTTAGGCTGTCTCGTCCCCCCGGATACAGCGCGGTGCAGCCCCCCTCACACCCACCATGCCTAACGCTGCTCCTGTCTCCCGGCATCCTGCTCTATACACCCCTCTCTCCCCTTTCCCTCTTCCTCCCCCCTTTCCTCCCAGGCTGTCTCGTCCCCCCAGGATACAGCGCGGTGCAGCCCCCCTCACACCCACCATGCCCAGCGCTGCTATCACTCCCACGTCCGTACCCACCACCCCTAACGCCTCACCCCTACACCAACCCCAATCTCACCACCAGCCCCACCTTCATCCCCCTCCGCCCTGGCCCTCCTCCTCATCTACCTCCCGCCTTCCCACCCGCTCCCCTCGCTCCCACCCTCCCTCCCTGTACCTATCCTCCCCTCCCCCTGCTGCTTCCCCTGCCTCTTGTCCGTCTGCTGCTGCTGCCGCCGGCGTTAGCACTAGTAGCAGCGCTATCAGCAGCCCTGGAAGCAACACCACTAGCAGCAATTATAGCAGCACCATCAGCAGCACTAACAGCCATTCTAACAATAACCGTAGCAGCAGCAGTAGCAGCAACAGTGGTGGTGGCAGTGATGTGAGCAGAGCAAGGGTCAGTGGCAGTAGCAACAGGGGCGAGAGCTCTGCTGTAGGGGTGAACTCTCCAGTGTTGAGAGTGGTGTGCGAGGAGGAGGGGGAGGAAGAGGAGGGGCAGGAATCACAGCCGCTATTGCTTGATGGCAGCAGTGTCCACATACGTTCGTTGCTTTATATTGATTCTCCATGTCAGGTGTAACGTTTTAAGTACAACTATTATTTACCACACCATGATGCTCAAAGCACCAATTCTTGCAGGCTCCTTGCAGCTGCAGGTGCAGCCAAGCACCAATAATTTGCTCATGTACACATGTACCAGAGCGCATGCACACAAGTACCATAGCGCATGGACACATGTATCAGAGCATGTACACATGCCAAAAGGGCTGGCTTGGCTTCTCAGTAGAGCTAGTGGGATTTGTGTGCAATGGTATTGATACGATGAGTGCTGCTACACACCATGTGTTGGCTGTGCCGTGTGATGACGTGCATGCTCGAAAAAGCCATGTTCATATGACACGACTCATAGGAGCATGCCAGCAAGCTCTGCCTGCAGGAGATGGTTGCATGCATGGTGTTCAGGATGGCAGACATGCCTCTGGTTTTGCTGATTCACGGCTGATCTCTCACCAGCCATTTCTTTGGAATAACAGTGATCTTTCTCTGATTTTACTCTTGTGGTACTCAGAATTAGCAGATGATTCAAAATCATGAGAATAAGGCATTTCCAGCTGGCTAGAGAACCAACCAAAGGGCCTGACGCCCCTGCAACCATGCCCTGGCAACCATGCCCTCCCCTGGCATGTGAGGGCGGTCACATGAAGTAGGAGAGAGGGGTGATCTTGCGCGAGGCGCCCTCCCCGAACTGCTCGTTCCACTGCATGAGCTCCATCATTGCTGCTGCATCGCTGCTCACACTCGCCCGCACCTGCCAGGCACAAAGAGAAGGAGACACATTATTGCATGCGTGTTTGAGTGCGTGTATGTGGGTGCGCATGTGCTGCTCGTTCCACTGCATCAACTCCATCATTGCTGCTGCATCGCTGCTCACACTCGCACGCACCTACCAGGCACAGCGAGTAGAAGAACACCGGAGCGTGTGTGTGGTCGCATGTGACAATGGTCATATGGCATGAAGAACCACTATATCATGCCACCATCATGACACGGCAACACGGCAGCACGGCAACACGGCAGCACGGCAGCACGGCAGCATGGCAGCACGGCAACACGGCAACACAGCAGCACGGCAACATGACTCACCTTCTCCATGGCCTTCCGCATGTCCTCCATGCTGATTGGCCGCAGGCATGGAGCAGCGGCAGGGGAAGCCGAGCCTTGAGAGGCACCAGCCTCGCCCTCCCGGCTGCCACTTGCTGCTGCGCTGCTGCTTCCACTGCTGCCCTCCGCACCTCCCTCGCTCCTCTCTGCCTCCTCCTTCTCCTGCACGCACACCCCCAAAATAATTGGTGCAAGTTCGGGAGGTGGGACGTGAGAGGCGCTCGCTGCGATGCATAGCATAATGGAGCGAGCGCTGGGTGGCATTCTAGTGACCACATGGCAGGTAGCAAGGCTACGGAATGGCATACAAAGACCTTGGCCCTTGCCAGCAGTGCACACGTACCGTTTTATGTCCCAAGCACCCCTCACCTTCTCCTCGCCCTTCACCATCTCCCCACCCCTCATCATCTCCCCACCCCTCACCATCTCCCCACCCCTCACCTTCTCCCCACCCCTCACCTTCTTCTCCTTATCCAGAAACTCCTTTATTCTCAGGAACGCTGCTGTCACACACAGGTTCTGCGCACACACGGTAAGAGGACAAGGGAAGGGGAGGGTAAGGGATGTTGGAAGGGGTGGCGCATCCCTCCCTGCTGCTTGTGATGATGCAGGAGAGGACGATTTCGAGCTTGTGAGAAGCGGAACATACGGCAGTGAGAGCAGAGAACTAGTTACATGTTACAGGTGTTTCTTGCAGGGCCTAGCTTGCCTGCTTGAGATTTCCGAAACGGATCAGTGCTTGCCAGCCTGCCTGCCTGCGAGCAGCATCCTGTTTTGAGGCGCCTCACCTTGAGGTCGCTGCCCGAGTAGCCATCGGTGGCAGCAGCGAGCTCATCGGTGCTGAAGCCCGGCTCCACGTCCTCATCCTTGAGAATGACTTTCAGAATCTTGGCTCGGTTGGTGCAGTCAGGCAGATCCACGAACAGCCTGTGGGCACACGGAGCGGGCAGGGAGGAGAAGAGGGAGGGGAGGGTTGTTGAAGCGAGAGAAGCGATTGTTTGTGCAGTCAGGCAAGTCCACGAACAGCCTGGCGGTACACAGACGGGGACGCACGAGAACGAGAGGTAAGGAAGCCCTGCAGGGGCAGACGGTGGATGGGGTGTGGCAGAGAGAGAGAGAGGGAGGCTTGGCGTCGAAAATTGCTGGATTCAGCCCAACTGGCATCGTCCAGCGAAGCACACACCTTTTAGGAAACCGCCTGGTGACGGCATCATCGAGGTCGTGGGGACGGTTGGTGGCGCCAAGCACGAGAATGATTAGAGGCGGCCAACAGGTATGCATGGCAAGCGAGTGGTTCAAGAGACCTCAGCCCACCACGCACCGTCTGGGGAAGCGTCTAATGACGGCATCATCCAGGTCGTGCGGGCGGTTGGTGGCGCCGGGCACGAGAATACGCTCGGCTTTCTTGGATGCTGGGAGGCAGCCAACAGGTATGGGGAAACGCTTGATGACCTCAGTGCCGCACCCACCTTCTAGGGAACCGTCTGATGACGGCATCATCCAAGTCATGCGGGCGGTTGGTGGCGCCGAGCACGAGGATGCGCTCGGCTTGCTTGGATCGCAGCCCGTCCCATGCGGCCATGAACTCGTTCTTGAGCTTCCTCATTGCACTGTGCTCCGAGTCGCCGCCTCTCCGCCCCAACATGCTGTCCACCTGATGATGCGGGAATAGCAGGGTAACAGCAGGCACGCAGCAATGGAGTGGTGACAAGGGGTGAAGTGCGCTCCGCCTGTTTGGATCGCAGCCCGTCCCATGCGGCCATAAACCCGTTCTTGAGCTTCCTCATTGCACTGTGCTCTGAATCCCTGCCTCGCCGCCCCAACATGCTGTCCACCTGGTGATGGGGGCACAGGGGGGACACAGCAGGCACACAGCAGCCATGCAGTACGGAGCGGTGACAAGGGGTGAAGTGCAGTGCTGAACTGGGAACACGGAAATAGTGGGCCGGCTTGGCGCGCAGTTCGTCCCATGCCGTAATGAACTCAGTCCTGAGCTTCCTCATCTTGCCCACTCACTCACCAGACAATCCACTCACTCACTCACTCACCCTATCACCCACTCACTCACTCGACCACCCACTCACTCACTCACCCAACCACCCACTCACTCACTCACTCAACCACCCACTCACTCACTCACCCAACCACCCACTCACTCATTCACCCAACCACCCACTCACTCACTCACTCACTCACCCAACCACCCACTCACCCACTCAATCACTCACTCACTCAACCAACCACCCACTCACTCTCTCAACCACTCACTCACCTCGTCCACGAAGATGACACATGGTGCAATTTTACTGGCCAGCGTGAACACGGCCTTCACATACTTCTCTGCCTCTCCGAACCACTGGTGGTGTGAGAGGGGGAAGAGGGGAGAAAAAGGGGGAAGGGGGAAAGGGAGAAGGGTGAAAGTTCAGAGAACAGAGGTGCGACGGAGACGTGGCATTCAAAGGAAGACAGAAGCAAGGCAAGGGAATGTGGCACAATTAGCAGGTCGGGCGAATGTATCAGATTAGCAGCTATACTAACACGTTCACGAGGAGATGAACAGAGAGAAGGAAAGGAAGAGAGCCCATGGAGGATAGGGGAGGTACGAACCTTTGATGCAACAGAGGCCATGGAAAGACTGATGAAGTTGGCCCCTGACTCCGTAGCAACTGCCTTGCCCAGCATCGTCTTGCCCGTGCCCGGTGGGCCAAACAGCAGCAGCCCCCGTACCGGCTGTGGGGGGTTGGTGGGGGGCGGGGTTGTTGGGGGCGGTTTGGAGGGGAGGAGGGTGATTGGGGAGGTGGGCGAATGGGAGTGGGGCACAGTGAGTGACGCGTCGCGTCGAAGCGAGGGGGTAACCTGTATGATAGTGGCAGTGGGGTATGGGAATGCGAGATGGGCGGCGTGAGCGACTAGAATGGGCAAATGGGGGTTGGGGCAATGGGAGGCAGGGAAGGGAGGCAGGGAAGGGAGGCAGGGAAGGGAGGCAGGGAAGGGAGGCAGGGAAGGGAGGCAGGGAAGGGAGGAGTGAGCCGGGAGGTTGGGTTGGGAGGGAGGGGATGCGCGTCAAGGAACATGCGGGAAAAAGGGGGAACGAAAGTGCAGCACAGCCTTATGAAGAATACCTTGGTGAGTTGCCCCGTTTGGAAGAGCTCAGCACGTTGCAGCGGCAGCATGACCACCTCACTTAAAGCCTCCTTGACGCCCTCCAGCGCACCGACTGCGTGATCAACATATGGCAAAATCTGAAGAAAAACTCCACCACTGTACAGAAATACCTTAGTGAGCTGGCCAGTTTGAAACAGCTCTGGTCGCTGAAGTGGCAGCATGACGACCTCTCTTAGAGCCTCCTTCACGCCCTCCAATGCGCCGATGTGCTCAAAGCGCACCCCCAGCTCCTCCGCAGGTATCACCTCCCCCAGTAGCAGCCTCTCAAAATCGTTGTCACACGTCACGTCCTGAGATCAAGTGGGAGGGGTTGTGCGAGGGAAGGGATACGGTGGGAGAGTGGGCAGCATGAGACCAGTGCAAATCATGAGAGATGGATAGGAGAGGAATGGCTAGTGGGTTGGGCAGCACTGTGATGAGCTCAATGCTCAGTTCAGAGCACTTGAGCTTGACAGCTTGAGCGCTTGAGCTGAGCATACACCGCTTGAGTTCAGAACCTGAGGGATGAAACAATGGAGTCCGCGTCAAACATCGCCGCCCTAGAGCCCGCCTTAAAGCCCACCTTGAGCGCCTTAAAGCCCACCTTGAGCGCCTTAAAGCCCACCTTGAGCGCCTTAAAGCCCACCTTGAGCGCCTTAAAGCCCACCTTGAGCGCCTTAAAGCCCACCTTGAGCGCCTTAAAGCCCACCTTGAGCGCCTTAAAGCCCACCTTGAGCGCCTTAAAGCCCACCTTGAGCGCCTTGCGCTGTGTGGCTGGCTGCTGCTGAGATGCTCCCTCCACCACCTCCACTCCGTGCCGAATACTGCCGCCCGGGGGTGATTGCAAAAGAGAGTCAGAGTTGCTACCATCGGTAAGACACATGCGCACGGCTTAACTCAATGGAAGATGCATGCAAGTGCTATCGGGCAGAGTAACAGAGCAACAAGGTGACAGGGGGAAGGGGGACAGGGGACAGGGGGACAGACAGGGTGACAGGGTGAACGGCGAGTGGGTGACAGGGTAATAACAGGTGAAGCAGACCTGGAGAGCGAGAGGGGGAGGCGGGCAGCAGGCATGTCGACTTGCGGGCTGTGCTGCAGCTGGTGACTTATGGCCCACCCCACCATGCGCTCCGCACCTGATCATGGGTTAACACACACACACGGGCATGGGCACAGTAGGTGTGCAGACATGGACTGGACTGGCAACATGCATGCACATGCACAAACATGCATGATTTATTGCAGCTGGTGGCTTACGGCCCATCCACCATGCGCTCCGCTCCTGATGACGGGATAACGCATGCACAAGCAGATTGGGTGTGGAGACATGGAATAAAGGGAAGCATGTACATGCATGATCCATTATAGCTGGTGGCTCATGGCCCACCCCACCATGCGCTCCGCACCTGATGATGGGAGCATACATTCAAAGGGAATTGAGCAGACTTATGCTTTGAAACCAAAGCAGAATTTTTCGCTGAAAACCAAGATGTGAAGCACACGTTTTTCCAGTATATGGATAGGAAGGAAAGGTGGGCGGCGATACTTGTCTTACCCTCCTGGGGAAGAGAGTGGGAGGCGATGGAGAGTCTGTCAATGTCTGCACACTCCACTCCTGCTGTGAACATCACCTGCTCACATGTACAAAATGTGCATTCATACAGCAGGGACCCCCTCGCACGTGAATGAATGAGGTGTTTCGGATCCGGTTGCTCTGGATGGAGGGGACTTTTGGGTCGACTCAAAAGTCAAATGCATGCGATTGGATCAGGTATTTCGGATCGGGTAGCAGTGGACGGAGGAGACGGAGGTAAGCCGGCCATATGGTTAGCTGGCCACACACCATTGACCACACCCGACCACCCATCACCACACCCCACCACCCATCACCACCCGCGCCACACCCCACCATTCACCACCGCACTCCACCCACCGATCTAAGCAGGCGGCGGTTGCTCTCAGCGCGCATCAGCTCCACGTCACCCTCCAGCTGCCTCGCCCAATCACGCTGCGCCACGTCATCATCTTGTGCGGGCGGCAGCACCGGGATGGACGTGGGGAAGATGCGAGTCACCGCCCTGCCGCCCGCCTTGGCCCCTCCACCCTCCCCGCGCCCATCCTCTAGCCGCGATGAAAGCTGGTCCTGAGGTGAGGAATGGGAAGAGGAAAGAATATGAGGTAGAGGCATGAGGTGTTAGAATTAGGCTGTCAACACTTTGTGTACTATATTCTATATCGCGTAGGTTATTTGCGGGTTGGGTGTAGTTTGTGATCCCAACCCTATCTGGTTGGGATTCCCTCGTAATCCTGCAAATCTGCCAACTCACCAATTGGAGATTTGCTAGGATTCCCATCCCATCCTTTCCCTAGCCTTGCCCATCCCAACCTCGTTTGTACTTAAGGCCTAGTGCCTTCTTTCCTAATCAATCAGTTGAGCTCCATTATTATCATGAGGGCCCTGCTGCCCACCTTGGCCCGCCCCCCCGCCCTCCCCGCGCCCGTCCTCTAGCCGTGAGGAGAGCTGGTCCTGAGGTACGGGAGGAGTAAGAGGGGGCCTTTTCAAAGATGAACCAGGGAGGGCGCATAAGGGTGGGTCGAAATCGAAGCTGCGCCACATGACGGGCCTTTGCAGCTCCGCCCGTGGGCAGTGGATGTGGGGGCGGGCTGGTATGTGGCATGGGCGTACCAGGAAGGAGAGGTCGAGGAGAGCAGAGAGCTTGTCTGTGGTCTTGGGGGCTGCTGCCGCTGCTGGCGCCTGGTAGGGGTGGACGGGCACACCACCGCGAGGGCAGGTGGTGGGATGGGAAGAAAGATTGCAGGGAGGAGAGGAGAGTAGGTCAAGCAGAGTCACTTTGAGTGAGTTTGAAACGCTTGGAGGGAGCTGTGGTGATAGAGCATAACGAAAAGAAGCTTTGGGAGAGAGAGCGAGTGGAGGTTGAGTGAGGCGAGGGGCAAGCAGGGTGGAGTACGCAGGTAGGGATGGGGCTGAGGCGACGGGTGAAGGAACAAGAGGTGCTGGTCTGGTGGAAAGATGCGGATGTTGCACACACACCACATGCCCTTGCCATTCGCCATGTCAGGCCGCGTATGCATGCCTGCCATGACATTCCATGCGCCATGTCATGCCACATCATCATGGATGGCTGCTGTGTCATGCCATGCACGGCTGCCACCCACTTTGTCTTTCTTGGGTGGCACTGTGTGAGAGCCAATCACCACCAACCGCAGCGGTTCACTGTTCTCCTTCACCTCCTTTCCCTCCTTCCCTTTCTCCCCCTTCTCCCCTTTCTCTCCTTTCTCCGCGCTTCTCTCCCCCACCACTCCCAACCGCTCCATGCGCTCCAGTCTAACAAGCCTCTCATAGTGTGCCGCTGCGATTCTATCCGCGCCTGGGATGAAAACGATGAGAGGCGATGTTGCTGCTACGGTGGCTGCCACCTGCCACACAAGGCATGGGAGAAAATGGCATGAAGATGGGAGGGGTTCTTCAATTAGCCTCTTATACGAGCCACCGCCATGCGTAGATGCTTGTGGGATGAAGATGGGAGGGGTTTTCAACTAGAATACAGATCTGCTTTTGAGTCGACTCAAAACTAGAATACAGATCTGCTTTTGAGTCGACTCAAAACTAGAATACAGATCATTCGCAGCAACCTCAGGAATGCTGACCCCCACTGACCGCCATGCAATGGTCCACCAGCTGCTTCTCCACTTTGTCTGCTTATGGAATCCACTGAACATCACCCACACTGCCATCACGCCAACATGCCCCCACCCACCCACTGACCCCCACCCCACCCACCCACTCACCGCCATGCAGTGATCCACCAGCTGCTTCTCCACATTGCCTGTTCTGCTTGTGAGGCGCCTCTGTAACGGACACCTCTGGCCATCAAACACTGCCATTCCGCCAACATGCTCCCACTCATCCCCTCACTGACAGTCACCCACTCACCGCCATGCAGTGATCCACCAGCTGCTTCTCCATTTCGTCTGCTCTGCTTGTGAGGTGGGTCAACAATGGACTCCTCTCACCATCACTCACTGCCATCACACCATTATTCCCCCACTCAACCCCATGCTCCCACTCAACCCCATGCTCCCACTCAACCCCATGCTCCCACTCACCCCCATGCTCCCACTCACCGCCATGCTCCCACTCACCGCCATGCTCCCACTCACCGCCATGCTCCCACTCACCGCCATGCTCCCACTCACCGCCATGCTCCCACTCACCGCCATGCTCCCACTCACCGCCATGCTCCCACTCCCACTCACCGCCATGCTCCCACTCACCGCCATGCTCCCACTCACCGCCATGCTCCCACTCACCGCCATGCTCCCACTCACCGCCATGCTCCCACTCACCGCCATGCTCCCACTCACCGCCATGCTCCCACTCACCGCCATGCTCCCACTCACCGCCATGCTCCCACTCACCGCCATGCTCCCACTCACCGCCATGCTCCCACTCACCGCCATGCTCCCACTCACCGCCATGCTCCCACTCACCGCCATGCTCCCACTCACCGCCATGCTCCCACTCACCGCCATGCTCCCACTCACCGCCATGCTCCCACTCACCGCCATGCTCCCACTCACCGCCATGCTCCCACTCACCGCCATGCTCCCACTCACCGCCATGCTCCCACTCACCGCCATGCTCCCACTCACCCCCATGCTCCCACTCACCGCCATGCTCCCACTCACCGCCATGCTCCCACCTCACCCGCCATGCTCCCACTCACCGCCATGCTCCCACTCACCGCCATGCTCCCACTCACCGCCATGCTCCCACTCACCGCCATGCTCCCACTCACCGCCATGCTCCCACTCACCGCCATGCTCCCACTCACCCCATGCTCCACTCACCGCCATGCTCCCACTCACCGCCATGCTCCCACTCACCGCCATGCTCCCACTCACCGCCATGCTCCCACTCACCGCCATGCTCCCACTCACCGCCATGCTCCCACTCACCGCCATGCTCCCACTCACCGCCATGCTCCCACTCACCGCCATGCTCCCACTCACCGCCATGCTCCCACTCACCGCCATGCTCCCACTCACCGCCATGCTCCCACTCACCGCCATGCTCCCACTCACCGCCATGCTCCCACTCACCGCCATGCTCCCACTCACCGCCATGCTCCCACTCACCGCCATGCTCCCACTCACCGCCATGCTCCCACTCACCGCCATGCTCCCACTCACCGCCATGCTCCCACTCACCGCCATGCTCCCACTCACCGCCATGCTCCCACTCACCGCCATGCTCCCACTCACCGCCATGCTCCCACTCACCGCCATGCTCCCACTCACCGCCATGCTCCCACTCACCGCCATGCTCCCACTCACCGCCATGCTCCCACTCACCGCCATGCTCCCACTCACCGCCATGCTCCCACTCACCGCCATGCTCCCACTCACCGCCATGCTCCCACTCACCGCCATGCTCCCACTCACCCCCATGCTCCCACTCACCGCCATGCTCCCACTCACCGCCATGCTCCCACTCACCGCCATGCTCCCACTCACCGCCATGCTCCCACTCACCGCCATGCTCCCACTCACCGCCATGCTCCCACTCACCGCCATGCTCCCACTCACCGCCATGCTCCCACTCACCGCCATGCTCCCACTCACCGCCATGCTCCCACTCACCGCCATGCTCCCACTCACCGCCATGCTCCCACTCACCGCCATGCTCCCACTCACCGCCCATGCTCCCACTCACCGCCATGCTCCCACTCACCGCCATGCTCCCACTCACCGCCATGCTCCCACTCACCGCCATGCTCCCACTCACCGCCATGCTCCCACTCACCGCCATGCTCCCACTCACCGCCATGCTCCCACTCACCGCCATGCTCCCACTCACCGCCATGCTCCCACTCACCGCCATGCTCCCACTCACCGCCATGCTCCCACTCACCGCCATGCTCCCACTCACCGCCATGCTCCCACTCACCGCCATGCTCCCACTCACCGCCATGCTCCCACTCACCGCCATGCTCCCACTCACCGCCATGCTCCCACTCACCGCCATGCTCCCACTCACCGCCATGCTCCCACTCACCGCCATGCTCCCACTCACCGCCATGCTCCCACTCACCGCCATGCTCCCACTCACCGCCATGCTCCCACTCACCGCCATGCTCCCACTCACCGCCATGCTCCCACTCACCGCCATGCTCCCACTCACCGCCATGCTCCCACTCACCGCCATGCTCCCACTCACCGCCATGCTCCCACTCACCGCCATGCTCCCACTCACCGCCATGCTCCCACTCACCGCCATGCTCCCACTCACCGCCATGCTCCCACTCACCGCCATGCTCCCACTCACCGCCATGCTCCCACTCACCGCCATGCTCCCACTCACCGCCATGCTCCCACTCACCGCCATGCTCCCACTCACCGCCATGCTCCCACTCACCGCCCATGCTCCCACTCACCGCCATGCTCCCACTCACTCACCGCCATGCTCCCACTCACCGCCATGCTCCCACTCACCGCCATGCTCCCACTCACCGCCATGCTCCCACTCACCGCCATGCTCCCACTCACCGCCATGCTCCCACTCACCGCCATGCTCCCACTCACCGCCATGCTCCCACTCACCGCCATGCTCCCACTCACCGCCATGCTCCCACTCACCGCCATGCTCCCACTCACCGCCATGCTCCCACTCACCGCCATGCTCCCACTCACCGCCATGCTCCCACTCACCGCCATGCTCCCACTCACCGCCATGCTCCCACTCACCGCCATGCTCCCACTCACCGCCATGCTCCCACTCACCGCCATGCTCCCACTCACCGCCATGCTCCCACTCACCGCCATGCTCCCACTCACCGCCATGCTCCCACTCACCGCCATGCTCCCACTCACCGCCATGCTCCCACTCACCGCCATGCTCCCACTCACCCCATGCTCCCACTCACCGCCATGCTCCCACTCACCGCCATGCTCCCACTCACCGCCATGCTCCCCTCCCACTCACCCCCATGCTCCACTCACCGCCATGCTCCCACTCACCGCCATGCTCCCACTCACCGCCATGCTCCCACTCACCGCCATGCTCCCACTCACCGCCATGCTCCCACTCACCGCCATGCTCCCCACTCACCTCCATGCTCCCACTCACCGCCATGCTCCCACTCACCGCCATGCTCCCACTCACCGCCATGCTCCCACTCACCGCCATGCTCCCACTCACCGCCATGCTCCCACTCACCGCCATGCTCCCACTCACCGCCATGCTCCCACTCACCGCCATGCTCCCACTCACCGCCATGCTCCCACTCACCGCCATGCTCCCATCACCGTCCCACTCACCGCCATGCTCCCACTCACCGCCATGCTCCCACTCACCGCCATGCTCCCACTCACCGCCATGCTCCCACTCACCGCCATGCTCCCACTCACCGCCATGCTCCCACTCACCGCCATGCTCCCACTCACCGCCATGCTCCCACTCACCGCCATGCTCCCACTCACCGCCATGCTCCCACTCACCGCCATGCTCCCACTCACCGCCATGCTCCCACTCACCGCCATGCTCCCACTCACCGCCATGCTCCCACTCACCGCCATGCTCCCACTCACCGCCATGCTCCCACTCACCGCCATGCTCCCACTCACCGCCATGCTCCCACTCACCGCCATGCTCCCACTCACCGCCATGCTCCCACTCACCGCCATGCTCCCACTCACCGCCATGCTCCCACTCACCGCCATGCTCCCACTCACCGCCATGCTCCCACTCACCGCCATGCTCCCACTCACCGCCATGCTCCCACTCACCGCCATGCTCCCACTCACCGCCATGCTCCCACTCACCGCCATGCTCCCACTCACCGCCATGCTCCCACTCACCGCCATGCTCCCACTCACCGCCATGCTCCCACTCACCGCCATGCTCCCACTCACCGCCATGCTCCCACTCACCGCCATGCCCGGACTGACTGACCCCACTCACCGCCATGCAGTGGTCCACCAGCTGCTTCTCCGCGTCGTCTGCTGCTGCTCCCTCCAGCCGCAGCTCTGACACTGCCACGTGGCACAGGTGGTGGGAGGGGATGAGGAAGTGGGGGTTGGCGTGCAGAGAGAGGGTTTGACTCGCCCCAATCCCGCCCCCTCTTGCGGCAGCTCCCGCAACTCAAGAATGGGAAATGGGCTTGGCAGATCTATTCCCACACTGAGAACCACGCACATGTGCGCCTCAATATCTAACCGTCAAGAGCCAGCCTACCTACCATGGCACCATGCCCCATGCCCCTCGTCACACACGTCCACCAGACTGTTGCCGCCCGGGATGGGCTTGTCAGATCTACTCTCACAGCAAGAACCACGCACTTGTATGCATCAATATCTACCGCTCACAGGTCAAGCAACCTACCGTGGCACCACGCGCCGTGCCCATCGTCGCATACATCCACCAGGCTGTTGCCGCCCGGGATGGGCTTGTCGAAACGCACACCCACACGGTGGGGGTTCTCCTCCAGCACCACCACCACGCGCCCCTTGAGCCCCACTGGTGGGCCGCGCCTGCAGTGAGGAAAGCGAAGGGACGGGGTGCATGCAGGGGAGGGAAGAGAGCGGAGGCAGAGGGATGGGCTTGTCACACGCCCACTCGGTGCAGGTTTTCCTCCAACACCACCACCACGCGGCCCGTGAGCCCCACTGGGAAGCCACGCCTGGAATGATCAGCACAACAAGACAAGGGACTGAACTGAGTGGGGAAAGGGGTTGAAGGAGGTAGGCCGTAGAAGGATGGGCTTGTCAAAGCGCACGCCCACTCGGTGCAGGTTTTCCAACAGCACCACCACGCGCCCCTTCAACCCCACTGGTGGGCCGCGCCTGCAGAGAGGAGGCACAGCAGGGGCAGGTGTTGGAAGCAAGGGACGGGGTGCATGCAGGGGAGGGAAGAGAGCGGAGGCAGAGAGGTGGGCTTGTCACAGCGCACTCCCACAAGGTGGGGGTTTTCCTCCAACAGCACCACCACGCGCCCCTTCAACCCCACTGGCGGGCCGCGCCTACAGTGAGGGAAGCGAAGGGACGGGGTGCGTGCAGGGGAGGGAAGAGAGCGGAGGGGCAGGAATAGGCTTGTCAAAGCGCACACCCACACGATGGGGGTTTTCTTCCAACACCACCACCACCATACCATACGGACCTTCAACCCCACCGGAGGGCCCGGCCTGGACATTCAACCATCGCCCCCATTCAACCATCGCCCCCACTCAACCATCGTCCCCATTCAACCATCGCCCCCATTCAACCATCGCCCCCATTCAACCATCGCCCCAATTCAACCATCGCCCCAATTCAACCATCGCCCCCACTCAACCATCGCCCCCACTCAACCATCGCCCCCATTCAACCATCGCCCCCATTCAACCATCGCCCCCACTCAACCATCGCCCCCATTCAACCATCGCCCCCATTCAACCATCGCCCCCATTCAACCATCGCCCCCATTCAACCATCGCCCCCATTCAACCATCGCCCCCATTCAACCATCGCCCCCATTCAACCATCGCCCCCACTCAACCATCGCCCCCATTCAACCATTCGACGCGGTGTGGATTCTCCAACACCACCACAACACCACCCGCCCCTTGAGACCCACTGGCGGGCCGCGCCTGCAGTGAGTTACGGAAACGCATTGTATGGGGACGAGGGTTGCTGGGAGGGAGGCAGAGGGGTGGGCTTGTCAAAGCGCACTCCCACTCGGAGGGGGTTTTCCTCCAACAGCACCACCACACGCCCCTTCAACCCCACTGGCGGGCCGCGCCTGCAGTGGGGGCGCACGGCAAGGGAAGGAGATGCATTGAGTGGGGAAGGGCGATTGCAGGGAGGCAGGCACAGGGATGGGCTTGCCAAAGCGCACGCCCACGCGGTGGGGGTTCTCCTCCAGCACCACCACCACGCGCCCCTTCAACCCCACTGGTGGGCCGCGCCTGCAATGAGGGAATCGAAGGGACGGGGTGCATGCAGGGGAGGGAAGAGAGCGGAGGGGCAGGAATGGGCTTGTCAAGCCGCATACCCGCTCGGTGGGGTTTTGTTCCAACACCACCACCACCGCACGGCCCTTCAACCCCACTAGTGGACCGCGCCTGTGCAGTGAGGAGGATGCACAACGAGGAAAAGGAATGCATTGAGTGGGGACGGGGGTAGCAGGCAGGCAGAGGAATGGGCTTGTCAAAGCGCACGCCCATGCGGTGGGGGTTCCCCTCCAGCACCATCACCACACGGTCCTTCAACCCCACTGGGGGGCCGCACCTGAAATGAGTTAAGGGCAGGGAGTGTATTGCGAGGGGGCTTGGAGAGACGCACAGGGATGATGGACTTGCCAAAGCGCTCGGCTGCTCGGTGTGGAGGAGAGGAGCATAGGGGCAGCGGTGGGCGAACAGGAGAGGACGGGTTGGCTGAATGGCGCGGCGGTGGGCAAACAGGAGGGGTTGGCCGAATGGCGCCGCGCAAACAGAAGAGCAAGCACGTGAGCATGAGCGTGGGAGTCAGATGTGCGAGAGGGAGGAGGAATTGGTGACTGATGAAGCAGAGGGAGCGGGAGGAGCAAGGGGGAGAGCGAGGGACAGTGTGTCTGAGGCCCGAATAGTGACATGGAGGGTGGCAGAAGCGAGGCAGAGGACTGTGGGGGTGCAGAAGTGGAGAGTGTGGTGGGAGAGACAGGGGAGAGGAGGGACGAGCGAGAGGGAAGTGGAACGAGTGGGAAGTGGAAGAGGCTCGAATACTGACATGGAGGGTGGCAGAAGTGAGGCCGATGGCGGTGGGGGTGCAGCAGAGGAGAGCGAGGGCGGGCCCATGTAGCGCACTCTGTCGCCTGGGGGCGGGGATGGTGGGGGCGAATCAAGATATTGGGGCGGGGAAGAGGAGGGAGAGAGGGGCAGGGGTGGGGGCGGGAGGGTGGAGCAGGCAGATGATAGGACCATGGTTCAGAAAGGTAATTCACACTTCAATCCCTGGGTGAGGGGCGAGAGAGGGCAATTGTTTTATCAAATAAGCAGGGCAGAAAATGCAATGAAGCATTTAAATTTCTTAGCACAAGAAATCCGAAAAAGACAAGCACACAAGGACACTACTGCCTTGACCATACATAGGGCGCTCTTCCAGTTCACCTTTCTTAAAGCCCTTCTTTGATCCCTCCACACTCTCGCTGCTCTTCTTCCCATCGCTTCCAGCACCCTCCTTCTCCTTCTCCCCCTTGCTCTTCCCCTTGTGCCCTGTACCCGCCACCGCTGCCCCAATCCCCACCTCCTCTTTGCTCCCGCCCTTCCCAACACCGTCCCCCTCACCCCCTCCATCTTTCGTTGAGCCCTTATAACCCTTGCTGCTGCCCTTCTTCTTATGGGAGGACGAGGAGGACTTGGAGTGGTGGGAGCGGGGGATGAGCGAGGAGGAGAGCTCCTTCAGCTTCACTGCTCTAAGGTCCACACCGCCTTTCCCTCCTCCTGCACCCCCACTGCTGCGTTTACTCACGGTGCTGCCTTGCTGCCCCTCTTCCTCCTCCTCCGGCCTTTTGGGCTTGCCAAGGTCACCAGCAGCGGCAGTGCTGGTGTGGGTGGTGCCAGTGTGTGCAGTGGTGGGGGGCGGTATGCTGTCCGGCTGCGTGCTGGCAGAAGGATTACCAGCAGCAGCGCTGCTCTGCTCCGCCTCCTCACACATGCCAGCTGCGGCAGTGGAAGCAGACGAAGCAGCACCAGCAGGACAGGAGGAAGAAGTTGCAGTGACGGCACCGGCAGCGATGTTGCTGCTGCTGCAGCCATAAGCAGGCAGAGTACCGGCCCCCTGCACACAAGGCACACTGTGCGCCTCTTCTGCTTCACCCCCTGCTCCCCCCCCCTCCCTCTCCCCACTTTCCCTCTCCGCCCCCTCCCTCTCCGCCCCCTCCCTCTCCGCCCTCTCCCGCTCCCCTTCCCCCTCCACCCTCTCCCCCCTTTGCCCTTCATCCATGGCATCTGCCAGCTCCAGTTCCCCTGACGCCACGTCAGCAGGCCCATCACTCTCCACATCAGCAGCCAGGGCGGATTCCCCCTCTCCCCCATCACCCCCTTCCCCGTCACCACCTCCCCCATCCCCCCCCCCGGATACTTGTTCCCCCCCTGCAGCCTCACTCGTGGGACCAGCGCCTTGTGCCTCCCCTGGCGCCCCTGTCTCTCCCGCCCCCTCTTCCCTCACTGCACCGCCCTCTCCTTGCCTCCCCTCCTCGCCCTCGGCTTCCTCTTCCTCCTCCGCCTCCTCTCCCTGACTTGCCTCTGCTGCATCCCCAGCACCCCTCTCCCCCGCACCTCCATCTGTGCCCTCTCCTCCACCTTCCCCCTCCTCCCCTATTCCCGCTCCTGTTGCGTGCCCTGTCTCAGCACTCACACAGGACCCTGTCACCGTATCAGCTGACTCCTGCGCCACTGCTGCTGTTGCCGCCACTCCTGCTGCTGATGTGGATGCTGATGCCGATTCTGATTCCAGCGCTGGTTCTGATGCCAATGCCAATGTTGCTCCACTGGTGAGAGCTTGAGGCAAAGCACCGCCTGACTTGGTTGCCAGAGCCACCTGTGTTGCACGGAGCATGAGATACAAGCCAATTCGTTAGGCACCTGTAAAAGCTGTAACTGCACCAACCATACGTAGACCAGCCATACCTGAACCAGCCATTCCTGCACCAGCCGCACCATATTTCGACCAGACATACCTGGACCAGCCATACCTGGACCGGCCATACCTGGACCAGCCATACCTGGACCGGCCATACCTGGACCAGCCATACCTGGACCAGCCATACCTGGACCAGCCATACCTGCACTAGCCATTCCTGGACCAGCCATACCTGGACCAGCCATACCTGCACTGGCCATTCCTGGACCAGCCATACCTGGACCAGCCATACCTGGACCAGCCATACCTGGACCAGCCATACCTGCACTGGCCATTCCTGGACCAGCCATACCTGGACCAGCCATACCTGGACCAGCCATACCTGGACCAGCCATACCTGCACTGGCCATTCCTGGACCAGCCATACCTGGACCAGCAGCAGCATGCATCTCATACCTGCAGCAGCATGTTGGGAAGATCAAAGATCAGAAGCTTTGCATCCAGGTGCCGAGCCAACGCCCGAACCAGCTGCTCCTGGTACCGCTCCGAGCCTGCAACAGGTTCGGTAGTGCGCGGGAACAAACAAGGCAGGGTCAGCGTTGTGAGTGATGGGCAGTCATGCGGTTTGCCTCGCACACAGGCGCAGACATGGAAGCAAAACAGCTGGATGGACCAACTCGTTATGTATGATGCACAATAACCAGACCAGGCAGGAAAGTGATAGTGGTCACTTTTGAGTTGACTCGAAAGTCACCCAGACCAGGCACGAGAGTGATAGATCACACACACATAAGCTCATACAATTGTCCTCGCTGAACGCATTACAGACAGGGAAACTACGATTGCGAGAGCTGGGGGCGGACAAAGGAATCTAGGGGGAGAGGAAGGACCTGGGGGGCCGGAGAGGAGGATGCGCGCGGAGAGTGATGGGAGGTCAGCGGTGAAGCGCAGGAACTCGGGGCGGCGCAGGCGGATGAAACACGCGTCCACCAGCGCGTTGCGCGTGGCATCGCTGCCACGAGGGGGGAGAGGCGAGGGGGGAGGGAGGGGGGGGAGAACGGGGGGAACGGGGGAGATCGGCAGGGGAGGGCGGATGAAGCACGTTGCCAGCACGGAACAGCGCGCATGGGCAAACTGACAGAATTCTGCCAGTCGAAGACCTCCGTATGCGATAGGCCAGTCCTACTACTGGCAGTCTGACCTCGCTGCAACGGCCAGGAACGATCCGCGATGGTCAGGGAGAAATGACCCTTGCAGCAACGGTCAGAACCACATGTAGCACGGCAGGGGGGTAATAACCCTGAATTCCCTCCCTTCCCTCGCTTGCGCGGGTCTGCGAGCAGACCTGAGATAGTACGGAAACGAGTCGAAGGAGATTTGTAACGCGGATGATTCGATAACAGCGCTCATGACCACATCTCGATGCAGCTGCCCTTCCTTCGTCAGCGGCCCCACGCCGTACCCGCCGCTCGCGGTGATATTTCCGCCGCCGCTGATGATACTACTACTGCTCGTGCCGGCCTTTTTAGTCGTCTTCTCTTTAGTCTTAGTGGTCTTAGCGTCTTTCTTTCCGTCATTGGTGCGGAGCATGCCGATCAGTAGCCCCAGCGAGTACGGAAACACCGTCGCCGTCACCGCTGCCGTCGCGCCGGCAGCGACGCCGGCGGAGACGGCGGCGACGAAGAGGAGGATCGAACGGCGATCGATCCATGCGACGTAGGACGAATCCTGATTCATGCTGGCTGTGAGTGAAGGAGCATCAGTAAGCTTGACTGATAGTCTGGATCATGAGCACCATCGGTCCGTTCCTACACGCGCGAGCGACGAGCAGTTCGGTCTAATTCGATTCTCTACGCAACGTTACTGTGAGAATCCAAATTCAGTAGTCCCCGTGAAGGTGCTCGCGCGGTGAACGAAGCTGTGCAATTGCCATTCCACGGCTCTGCTCTGCTACTTGTCTGGGCTGGAGTGTTGCTTGCTTTGACACAGCACAAGTTGCTTGTGGCTTGCTTTGAGTCAGAATATCCGATACAGACGTTGTCCGTTACGGTTCAACGAATCAAAACTGGTTCTTCAAAGGGCAATGATTTCAAAAACAGGTGACCTGACATGTAATAGAAACTGCTGAATTGCACCCAACATTCTAACCCCATAAACGCTGAAGGGACATCTACATCTGTTTTATAGCATATACTACATTGCAGAATACAGCTTATATGCAGTAAGAAACAGTCTCAACTCTTCCCTTCCAAGGTAATTGTGATTGTAACTTCGTTGTCTCCTCTCAACACTCGTGCCTCCACCTACAACCACAGCAAAAGCGACAAACATAAGAAACAATATTTGTTATACAATGTACATATGAAAACCAGCCTTGCAACAAGTTTGAACTCAGTGCTGGAGTTTCCGGGCAGCTCACCTTCTGGCCAACCTTGCAGCGGTCGAGGATGCGGTAGAGGTCCGAGCCGTTGCGAACGGTGTTGCCATCAATGCCCGTGATGATGTCCCCCAACACTAGCCGCCCGTAGCTGTCCCGAGTCGTCGGCCGGATGCCCTGCACACACCACCGCACACACACACACACACACACACACACACACACACACACACACACACACACACACACACACACACACACCAGAAGGCCCTCCATCAGTTGAGCTTAGGACACTTTGCAGTGGCAATGCTGCCAGTACCGGCCACAACCACTCTGGCGTTGTGTATTTTCTTGAAGCACAAGGCCCTCGGGGGCGACGGAGATGCACAGCACTCGACGCATGTCTCAGGTGCCTAGAGAAACTCAATGTGCGCTGATTGATGTTATGTACTCACCGCTTTCCCTGCGGGGCCGGAGGGGGGAGCATCTAGCACAAGCACCCCAGCCACTCCCAGCTGCTCAAGAGACTGCTCGGGGGCGAAGGAGATGCCCAGCACTGGCCGCGTGACCTGCCCGTACTTGATTATCTGCTCCACTATGCCTGCTACCTAAGGGTGGAGGGTAACGAGTGGGGGGGGGGGGTGAAGTGGGGAAGGGGATTTTGAGTCGACCCAGGACATGCCCAGCACTGGGCGTGTGACCTGCCTGTACTTGATTATCTGCTCCACTATGCCTGCTACCTGCCATGCGTGAAAGGGGGTGGAAGAGGAAAGGGCAACTAAAGAGATGCCCAGCACTGGCCGCGTGACCTGCCCGTACTTGATTATCTGCTCCACTATGCCTGCTATCTGGCGTGCAGGAAAACAGGGGACGAGGAGGAAGAGGAAAAGGACACAGAAGGATACTTTCAGAGATGTCCCACGAAGATTGCGCCTTCAGTATTCGGAAGGGCAGAGGAACGAGAAGCAGAGATCCAGGAACTAACCGGGCACAGGAGGACACAGGGCACAGAGGGCACTGTGGGCACTGACCGTATCAGCAGGGATAGAGAAGCCGAAGCCAGAGGAGGCGCCAGAGGGCGAGTAGATGGCGGTGTTGATGCCGATGAGGTTGCCATTGGAGTCCAGCAGCGGCCCCCCTTGAGTTGAGTGGGTTGATGGCCGCTGGCGGAGACAGGCCTCACAGTGCATTACAGGGGAGACAAGCCTCACAGGGCACTGCCACCACTGACCGTATCAGCAGGGATGGAGAAGCCAACACCGGATGAAGCGCCCGATGGAGAGTAGATGGCGGTGTTGATGCCAATGAGGTTGCCATTGGAGTCCAGCAGCGGCCCCCCGCTGTTGCCCGGGTTGATGGCCGCGTCTGTCTGTATCACGTCCTGGATGGGCCGCCCCGTTGCTGCACTGCTGATCTCTCTCCTCAGCCCACTGTGAGGAGTGGAGTTGTTGGATTATGTGAGGGAAGGAGGAGTGGGAATGATTGTTGCATCGATCAAAGTCACATTGTTGTTTTGCACTGAACATGAACACACCGAGAAGCAATGAAACAGGGAAACAAACAGACAAACAGACAGGCAGGCAGACAAACGACCGAGTTCATGGCTGCAGCAGGGTGGACGGTTGTAATGCATTCCATGCCATTGTGTTAAACGTACCTGATCACGCCTGTGGTGAGGGTATGGTCCAAACCGAACTGCACAAGCGAGCACGCGTTGGGAGGGAAGGGGGCAAGGGGAGGAAGCATAGTGGAGTGGTGATGATGAATACATGATGACATGCATGATGCCTCCATCGTGCCATGCCATGTGGCACAGGATGCGTTTTGAGTCAAATCAAAGCTAGCTTCATAAGCACAAGCGCTTAAACAAGACGTCCCCATCATGGCATGGCAGGCGGTAAGGCCACACAGGAAGGGGGAAGGGTGCGGCACACATGAACATCCGACAAGGCACAGTACCATATCAACCTGGACATTGCATAACTATTTACCATTCTCACCTGGTTACCACACAGCACACTCAGGTTACTCGTTGCACTCTTCACCTGGTTACCTGGTAACCGCACACAGCACACTCACGGGTTCCCGATGGCATAGACGCGCTGCCCCACTTGCAGGTCAAACGAGCTGCCAACTCGCAGCAACCTCACATTTCTCCATTCACCAGGTTACCTGGTTACCACATGCACAGCACACTCACGGGGTTCCCAATGGCGTAGACCCGCTGCCCCACTTGCAGGTCGAAGGAGCTGCCCACTCGCAGCGGCCTGAGCTTGCTCCGGGGCGCGTCGATGTGCAGCACTGTACTGCCCTGCACGCTCACCAGGTTGCCTGGTTACCACACAGCACACTCACGGGGTTCCCAATGGCGTAGACGCGCTGCCCCACTTGCAGGTCAAACGAGCTGCCCACTCGCAGCGGCCTGAGCTTGCTCCTGGGCGCGTCGATGTGCAGCACTGCCACGTCCTTGTCACGGTCGTACCCCACCACGTCAGCCGCGTACACTGATTGGTCCGCCAGTGTTACACTGTTGGGAGCACGGTAAGAAGGAGGAGAGAGCGGCGAAGGTGAAGGACACAATGTGCCACCGCTGGGCATGGCATGCATCGCATGATGGCATGCTGGCGCTGTGCCTGGGAGGGGACGTTACACTAGCAGTTGACGTTCGAGGTCACACAAGTGGTTGTATGTTCAAGGTCTCTCGAGTCCAAGTCACACTAGTGAATGACGTTCATGGTCGCATTAGTGGTTGACGTTCAAGTTCACACTAGTCGTACTTCAGACTTTCCTCTTCTGTACAGCGTTCCAAGAACCAGTGTAGACACACAAACGGGCCCTCCCTCACCTGACTTCTTCAACTTAACTTGACTTAAATTGACTTAATTTGACTTGACTCACCGCAGGTCGCTGGAGTTGCGAATCACGTGGTAGTTCGTCACCACGTGGCCTTCGCGGTCCCAAATAAACCCCGATCCGGACCCCTGCGGCACCTCCATCACGTCAAGTGTAAACACGTCCCTCCGAACGGCCAGATTCGTGATATAAACGACACTCGGTGTCGTTTCGTTGAATAGTTGCACCGTCGCCTGCTCGTCCGGCATCAGCTTGCGCGGCGGTGCCTGCACGATGGCCGTCGCCGGCGCGCTGACGGACGTCAGCAGCACGGCGCTGACGGCCAGCGACACGAACAGCCGGCCGGCTTCTCTGAGGATGTCGGACGGCTCCGGGAGGTGGAATTGACGGCTCAGATGCGACTGCCAGAAGGCGAGGCGGTGGATCAAAGCCGTCCATGGGGCTTCTGATGGTGACAATGATGAGAGATTCCGGTCAAGCTGATCGAGTGACTCGCAGCACGGGTTCCGGGGAGCGATCGCCTCGTCGTGCGCTTTGGTCCAGTCGTCTGACCTCCGACCATTAACGAGTCCATCCTCGTTAAAATCTACGCTGCTGCTGACACTGGAACGCGGGGAGCTGGTCGCATAGACCGTGGCGAGGCGACGCGGGGACGCAGTGCCGCGGACACAACGGACGCCTACGCCTCTAAAGGCCGCTAAGCTTTTCGTAAGCAATGCGTTCTTGCCAGAAGGCAGGACGCGGAGGTTGGCTGAGCTGCCATGGTGCGACGTGGATGAGCGTTGAATAAGGGAAGCACACGAGGAAACTGGAGAGCTCAGCTTGGGTTGTCGTGAAAAAGGCGAATGCTGAACGCACGACCCGGGGGGAGCAGCGCGGAACGCGACTTGGGATAGGCCAAGTTCCATTGTGCTCACTGACACCAGATACTCGACCTAGCGGGAGAGCTGTCTGTGAGTAAGTGCTGGGTGCTCCCTAGAGCGTTGCACAGACGGTGCGAGTCTTGAGCAAACCTTGGGAATTCCGATGTCAGTGAAAATGTGATCTTGGAAGTACCTTTTTGAAGCAGCTGCATGGTGGTGCAGGAAAATGACCAACTCAGTGCGCATCTGTGGATCTGTCTGTGTACAGATCAGTTCTGTATGGTTATCTCTGGTGCGCAATGATCGAAAACGGTGCATAGAGCTCCAGAATGGTGAACTTCAAGGATCGTTCCCAGAGGCGATCCAAGCATCCAGCCAAAATTCGGGAAATTTCAGGATGCGTGAGTTTCAAGAAATTGTGGGGAGATTTCGTCCATGTCAGAGGAAGCGTGTATACGTGGATTGTACACGTGTAGACTTCTGGTTATGACATGCTGTACAGCTGGTCTGACTGGAGGTCTCCAGAAGGCATCAGATTTTTAGTTCACTGCGGTTTAGTGAGATGCGCTACTCGGCAAACCGGCTCGCTTACTTTCTAGCACAATTTTCGAGCTAAGTGGAATCTTGTGACAGGTCACGATATGGGAAAAATCTACTACCGCAAATGTTCGGTTTTTGTAAGACATGTTATTTAATCCTGCTTACGGGATGTCTGACAAAGTATGATCTGGTAATTACAGCCGAAGGAACTTCAGGGCAAGCTACCCAAATGGAAGACAGGAGCAACCAGCTAAAGTAGCTAGTTCTGAATTACGAGATAAATTCAACAATAAATCGGTACAATATATTTAATATATGTACATGTTAGGATCCAGGTCTACGCAGCAAATGATTTGCCACATCCACAGGTAGAGGAAGCATTAGGGTTGCTGAATGAGAAGCCACCCCCAATGAGAGCATCGCTGTAGTCTAGCCGCATGCCGAACAGGAAGAGAAGGCTTTTGGGATCGCACACTGCCAGGGCGAATGCAAACACGAGAAGAATGTGAAGTAGCTGGCACAGAAAATCACAGATCACTAGGGAAAAAAAGGAAGCGGGTAAGATATAGCGAGTCGCGACAGCAACAGAGGTCCGAAACAGATACAGAAATACGCACCCATAGAGAAGCCTTGGTAGTCGACGATAGAGTCGCCTTCCTGGATGTTGGCTCGCTCCTCGAAATCCATCACGTATGAGAAGCCAGAGCAGCCACCCTGTCTCACGCCAATGCGCAGCAGCAGATCCTTGTTCAGCTCGGCGCGCATCTTGGTCAGATGCGCCAGAGCCTTCTCAGATAGCGTAATTGCCGGAACTACGGACGGAGCCGCCGGAGTTGCGGTCGCTCCTGCAACGGAACAATTCAGGAACAATATGTCAGCAACTGTACGATGATGCTATAAGCGCGATGACGAGACGCTTGAGAATGTGGCGGGAGATGGGTTTGTATGATTGTCAGGATAGAAACAGGGAGTAGGCTACCTCCAGCGCTGCATCGAACGGCGGAGAGGCGTTTATGAAATCGGAAGGCTACGGACTTGCTGATGCTCTTCGCACTAGCAGACCGGGCGTTCAAGGCTGTGTGCTGCCGTGGAGCACTGAACAGCGATGCGCTTACAAGGGAGGTGGTTGCAAGAGCAGCCATGGCCAAGGTCAGGTATGAATAGACTAGAAGCAGGCAGAATCCTGGGCGATTGTTAGTACGAAATGTGTTTCAAGGTTAGGGCACTGCTCGGTGGAATCGACGACTGACTGAATTGCAGGGTGAAGGTGAGACGGTAGTACAAATGAGGCAAAGGCGAGAAGCAGTGGTCTGTTCAGTTGTCCTTGAAGAAATGAAGGTCTGGCTGTTCGGTGCATGTGCGAGTGCCAGCAAATGGGAGAGCAGTGAGTGGATTCCGTTCATGAATGAGGCTTGACGACAGGGTAAGGTGATTCGTGCCTGCGAAATGGATCCCTCGCGAACAAAAATATCCGCCCTGTGAGGGTAACCGATATGGCAGTTGGCGAAATCGGAGTCCCGCAACGCAATACAAAATGGTCGGTGAGGAACCACTCTCGTGATATCTATCTTTGCCCCGAAAAGGCATCAACGATTCACTTTTGTCCACGTGGACTCCTTTTCGTACGCGGTTTTGGGATACCTCCTTCTCGTCATGTACTCCAGCCGCAGATTGGAAGGTCTGAACATATGTGCCTACAATAAGTGTAATCACAATTAGTGGAACTCAAAGATGCAATGACAAATCAATTTCTTGCGTGGCAATGGCCTTGCATGAGGATTTGACTCGGTGATCCTTTATCTGTATGGCTGGCAGGCTATGCACTCGCTCAAGTGAAACACGTGTAGCAACCAGCGAGGTTTGTTTCACAAGAGCAACCTTTGTTGACCCAAATTGTGTGGAAACAAGCTGGGGCAACACTGACGGGATACACAGCACTCGTGCACGCCGCTTACACCCCTCTTTGGCTGCTTCCTCGCTCTCCTCCATCTGCTTATTCACATCAACCCATTGCATCGCATCGGAATAAGTCCTCTTGCGCTGCGCTGCCTGCACTTGGCTCAGCATAGCACTCACTATCCGCTGAGGTTGCTGTGGCAGCTGCTGCTGCTGTTGCTGATTGTGGTGCTGCAGATTCTGCTGCTGCCGCTGCTCACATGCCGCGTCAGCACGAGTTAACGAGAGGCCCCTAGTCAGCACAAGGGAAGGCCTGCGGGAAAGTGAGAATGAACGCACGGAACCAGAACCCATCACCCGAGGCACCGTGCCCGTGCCATCCACACCTACTCTCCGAGGTGCCTCTGAAATCTCCTGAGCCATCATGGCGATTCGTTCAGCATCGGCACTGCGGTGCTGCAGCAGAAGCCGATTGTTGCGAGGCACCGCATTTGCACCTGAAGCTTCTCCCACCCTGCCACCCCACTCGCACCCCACCTGCACCTGCTGCTCCTCCCTCCCACCCAGACTAGACCTCCCTCCTGCCCGTCCCTCCCCTCGCGCCCTTTCTGCTCCAGCATATGGATGATTGTCCCAGCCCCCTGGCTCATCCACCCATCTTCCCCCGTCCGCCTTTCCCCCTGCCTCGAATCCCCCACTCAGGTGCCTCCTCATATGCCCTCCCAGGGCAGGCCCCGAGGCAAACAGAGCTCCGCACACACGGCAGGGGTAGCCAGAGGGAGGGGGTAGCAGGGAGAGCGGGGCGAGAGGAATGGCATGAGGGGAGAGGCGAGCAGGGGGAGGGGAGAGAGGAGCAGGAGGGGGAGACTGGAAAGCGGGGCCAGGCAGGGAGAGAGGGGAGACGGGAGAGTGGTTGGGAGAGGGCGAGGGAAGAGGAGAGAGGGTGGGAGCGGCGGGGGGAAGAGAGGAACGCATGGGAGGCAGGAGGGGAGCAGAGGGAGCGGTGGAAGCAGGAGCAGGACGAGCAGAGCGCAAAAAGGAATGAATGACGTCCTTCGATGCTGCGTTAAGACGGGCAGGACGAGCAGGGCAGGGTGGAAAGGCGTTGCTGCCTCTGTGAGTCCTGATGCATGCATCCGCTCTCCCACCTTCATTGTCGCTGCCTCTGCCTGTGCTGATCCGCAGAGGTGATGACTGTCTGGGTGTTGAGGCTGGTGGGGAGGGCGTTGGAAGCAGAGCCAGGCCGATCTCTGTGCACACTGCTGGGGCAGCTGGGGCAGGAGGAGACGTAACAGCAGCTGTAGGAGTGGCTTCAGCAGGAGATGTGGCAGGTGACGTAGCAGGAACTGTAGCAGGAGCAAGTGCTGCAGCTGCAGCCAATTCAGGGTTGCGATTGACTGCACACGACCGTTTCAACTCGTTACCAAAACCCTTAGCAGCACAGGGTTCCAAAGCTGAGTGTGAGCACTTCAAGGCCGAGTGATGCAGCTGGGGCAGGTGCTTCAGAGGCAAGATTTTTGTGGGAGAGCAATTCACTGCGAAGGGTTGCAGCGTCGAGTGCATCGCTGCCGAGCGCGCCTCAGCTGAGTGTTCATTCACGATCGACGTGCCACCACGCGGACGAGCATCCTTCCCATCCTCCAACCCATAGCAGCAGCCCTCATCACTTGCACACAGCGCTTGCACTGCATCGCCTCCCCCCTGGCCTCGTCGGCCGTGTGCTGGCCCCAGCAGCCACAGCACTGCTGTCTTCTCACTCTCGCCACAAGGGCCGCAATGTGTGTCATGGGCGCCACGGGCGCCATGGTTACGGCACGGGACAGGGGAGCTGCTCTCCCGGCCTCCCCCGGTGCAGCTGCGGCTGCAGCGGTGGTGCTGCTGGGAGTGGTGCTGCTGGGAGTGGTGCTGCTGGTGATCTCGCTGCTGATTTTGCGTCTGCTGGGTCTGGCGCTCCAGGGGGCTGTGACTGTGGTGGCGCTCAAGCACGATTCTGGGACGGCAAGCACTCTGCAGCGCAGGGACGATCGCCACAGCCATGCCATGGCAGCTCTTGCCCTTGCCGCTCTGCTGCTGTCGCTGCTGCTGCAGGGAGTGGTGCTGCTGGGAGCAGAGCTGCTGGGAGGGGCGGCTTTGGTACTCGTGCTGGGTTGCCCGGCCGCGTTGACTCTCTTGACTCTGTTGACCGAGCCGAGTTCCAAAGACTAGCATGTTGGCAGCCTTGCTGGCAGGGGAAGTTCAGCTGTTTGTTGCGTGATTTGGTGCAGTTGCTGAAGGCCTTGCTGGCAAAGAGAAAGAAGAACGCTCTAAGTAACAGGCTAACGAGGTGGGAGGGTTGGCGACTGCTGCTGCTGCTGCGCAAGGAGCAAGGTAAGCACTGAAAATGGGAAAATCCCGTGCAGCTGCTGCTTATTGCTGAAACAACGAGTTGAGTAGATGCGCTAATGAGTAACTCGCCCTTCGGCTCGTCGCCTTCCACCTTTATCCTTCCAGACCTCGTTCCTCCCTGTCCTCAAACTCGTCCCTTTGCCCCCTCGCTCCCCTTGCTTCCTTTCTCCCACCTCGCCTGTCCCTCCCGGCCCCTGCTCAAGACCCCGACTCGATCCACAATACCTGCTGTCGTGCCTTGTGGACCACAACTTTCAACCGGCTGTAGTAACGGCTAGCAGCTAGTGGCTGGAGGTTCGCGGCTAGCGGACTGGTGCCCGTGAATCCCTGGGGACGGGCGTTTCTGGTAGAACGTTCCACTCCTGTTTAGTAAAAACGGGCAGATTCAAAAAAGGAGGTCAGATTCTGGAAGCACGGGATGCTCTTTCCACGAGCCTGCAAACGTCAGTTTTTCTTCCGACGCCTCAAAGGTAGACCGAAGGAATTCGCACCTGTCAACCACGCTGCTGCTGCTACTCCCTTTCGTCTCCTGTCTGCTGTCGCCTGCTTCGCCCGTCTTGTCCCACACGCAATATTCCTTCTCCCCCTGTCTCTTCCCCCGCGCTTGCAACCCGTACTGGCGTCGACAACTCGACAAGGGCGTGTGCGTGTGACGCGAGTCGCGGGAACGGGAGACAAAGCTGACACGCGCAAGGCGAACGCAGCGGAAACCGCAATGATGGAATGCAACGCAGCACGGAGTGTTGGAATATCTCTACAAGTCGCGAGGGATAACAGAGCTCGTAACTTGCAACCGCGACGGGGGCTTCTGAGACGCGTCGGACGGACTCGACTTTGAGACTTTGAAGTGCTTCAGGAATTAGACGGGCTCGGCGATTCCGAGAGTCGCAAAGTCTGACTACAACGCGACGAAACGACGGACAGCGCGTCTACCAGCAGCCAATCAGACGCGAGTCAGTTGACGGGCGACGGTCGACCGGCTTGATTGTTTGATATGTAAGACTGTTGGGCCGACCTTGGGATTTACGAGCCAAGCGTCGCGAGCCAGAAAAGAGTTCGCGAACCAGCGAGAGTTCGCGAGGAGCGACGTTCAGGCAACGGGGAGAAAATCCGGACAGTCTAACAGGACATTGAGACAGTACGGACAAGATGTCGCAACGCCAGCATAGGTAGTACTGACAGCACAGCGGCCGTTGACAGATGGACTGGCGTGCAACTAATGCAGACAGCAGATACTTATGCCAGCACAACAACACTGGATTGCTTCTCCGCAAAATATCAGTACCGGCTAGGCAGAGATCGGCACAGCCCGGCACAGCTCGGTCCAGCTCAGAACCGTACGGACCGCTGGTGGTCCACGTGGACGGGTCGGTACATCCTCCTCTCGAACCGACGACCTTGGGATCTACTATCGACGCGCATCGACATCGGGACTGGTAGCTATTGAGAGCTTAGGCCGGATTTGCGGTTCGGGTGGATGCCTC